ATGTCTTACAAAATTTGATGATTTCTTATGCAATCTTGCTACACGATCTTTTTGGCAAGACCTTGTAAGATCTTATCTAAAGATCATGTATGATCTTGCGGAATCTTTTAACTTCTTCTTGTAAGATTTTACAACGTCCACATTTCATCGGCGTTTCATTTATTACCAAACTAGCAGGAAGTAATCTTGTAACAAAAAGTTAATTTTGAAAATTACAATCCAAGTATTATTACTGAGTAAATATTATTACAGTGAATTGGATTGAAACAGTATACAATAAATTTTAAATGTTATCTGAAGAAACACATCGATTTTGAGAACAAATATACTGTAATTAGGAAAATTTTGAAAAAATCAAAAAATAATCACACAGAATTGCTCATCCACACGAGTTCACACAACCTCTCTCTCTACCTTCTTTCCTTCCGCTGTTAATTTTGTTGGAAATACTAACGGAACTATCTTTATCTTATTCATACATGTTAATTATGTGAGCATTTATGGGTTGCAAATACTATAATGACTGCTAATTGCGGCAATAGAGAAAAATATTAATAAACTTTTGGCTAGTGGTTGAATTATAATAAGGAAACAGAAGCCTGAGAATTTCAAACAAAATCGATATCTCGATACCAATATATGTCAAGACTAGACATATTATATATGGATTGTTTTTCGAACGCGAGATATATTTTTCATAACCGCACCGTTTCGGTTCCTTATGCGGAATCCAAACAAATAGATTCCCAACTTAGAACAAAACTGCGGTTCTCGGTTCTCAGCTTAGGACCGGAAAATAATTTTTCAGGCAGCAAGAACTCAACCAAATACAATTCATGTTATAGTAAACGAAAGGATTCTCTTAAATGATGATGTGGAAGCGAACTGCGGTTTCGGTTCTTCACGAGAACCGAACATCCCCAGATACAGGTGTACGCTCATCTTGGCCAGATTTTTTACTTTTCCGCTTGTCTTATCATTTCGTGGACGTGTAGAAGTCTTACCTTGAGATCAGTTCCATAAACCATTCCTCAGATTCCTTAGGTATGATAAAAATTTGTTCTTCTGCTCTTTTTCGCGTCTAGTATAAAGAAATCATGTGGAACTTTATTTTGATTACAATTTATTTCATCCTGCAACAACGGCAGTATTGTTCATCAATATTTTTCTCAAGAACTGATTTATGTCTATTAGTTCAAACAAATTATTCATGTCAGTGTATTGGTCAAACACTCTATTGTTATGATTTAAAACTAAAACATATTCCACAGTTACCGATGTCAAGCAAATTTATTCAATGGGACAGTTGGATATTAGCAAAAAATAACTTTAAGTATCTGTTAGCTCGTTCATTTGCAGGTCATACTATTTATACAATCGATTTAGATTCAAATCATCTTTTATCGATCGAAGCAAATGCATTCAATGGTATCAATGGTTCATCATTACGTCAGTTAATTTTATCGAACAATAATTTAAGTCATGTACATCCATCTGTATTTCAACATGTACCCAATATACAAAAATTATTTTTAAATAACAATCAATTTCGATCATCGACAACAGTTTTCTATTTGAACAATTTAGAAGTACTCGAATTAGATCAACAACAGAATGATGAAGAGGAATTTTTACCCGATTTATCCGCAGTCATATCACTTACTGCATTAAGTTTAAAATCAAATCGTATTAGAAATTTAAAATCATCGAATATATTTCCATCCAATTTACAATCGTTAAAATTAACAGGTATGAAAAACACATTCTTCGACATATGTCTATGCGATGAATAAGATAATTTAAGTCTTATCATCAAACAAATGTAATTTCTTTTAGATAATTTAATTGATCGTTTATCACCTCGTTTATTTCGTTTTGTACCAAATTTACGCTATCTATATTTGGATTTAAATATAATCGAAACAATAGATCCTGATACCTTCTTGGATACACGCTATTTACTCGAACTCAATTTAGCCGGTAATCGACTTACTTTAATTCCTGATCGTACCGTATTAGAAAAATTACCATATTTAAAAATATTGAATTTATCATCAAATCTATTAACGCATCTTCTGCCAAATTCATTTGATACTCTGTTAAATTTAGAAGAATTATATTTAAGTCAAAATCAAATATATTCAATATCGCCATATACGTTTTGTATAGATCAAAATCCTTTTCAGTCATTGTTATCTATTGATTTATCATTAAATCGATTAAAAACTGTAGACTATTGTACATTTTCTGATAAGAATATTGCATTTATCAATTTTGATCATTCAAAACAGATTCGTTGTTCATGTTCATTAAATAAATTAAAATCGATTGATCATATTGAACTCAAAGGCTATTGTAATTTAAATCAACATATAATGTCATTACCGTCGGATAAATTTGAAAAATGTTTAAATTGGACTAGAGACGAATGTAAAAATAGTTGTGGATATTCAAACACTCTTGATTTAAAAACAGGTATCGGCTTGTGTTATCGAATACATTCCTTGGCAATATTCGGCATGATGACTGTTAGTTTTTCTAAATTTTTTGATTTGAACAGTGAATAATAATTCAATATGGTAAATGATTTCATTCACTTTTCAGTAAATACACACGGATACTATCAAACTGCCTAAAATGAACTTGGAGATTGGAACTGTTTGATAAATCTTTAGTATTGATCGTCCATACAGATTAATAAATAGCTTAAAATACCAATATTACTTACTTTATTCCTTATTTGAATAATTTTATCGGTTCACATATATTATTCTAAAATAAGTTCATATACAAAATGCCAGCTCTTCAGCTAGAAACCAGAAAGATTGTTTCGGAGCTTTCATTCTAGTACGATCATGATGTTCTTTCTGGCGCTCCATGAGCTAACTGAATAGCTAACACTGTATACATGTAGAATGTTATATTAAGCTGCCAAACTGCTTTTTAATAAATAACGAACATATTCTGGAATTACTAAATCACTCGTTCTTTTGTTATACTCTTCTAATTCTCATACCATACGCGGAGATAAAAACATTTGGCTTGACTATTTTTGCAGACGAGTTTGAGGTATCATGCGCTCATTTCTCAGATGATTTCAATCTTTTTATTGGCGCTGCAAAAATGTTGATATTCCTCCAGTGTATTCACACATGACATCACGAGCCCAAAATTGACTTTTATAATCAGATATTACAATTACAACATATTTTTTGTGTTTCCTACAGCCGCCTATCGGTGACATATATAGAGTTACTGACGATCAAAAGAACTTGAATTTATCTCACTTTGCGAATAGTTTAGACTCATCTCTATAAGCTATTTTGATTAGAACGGTGAACTTTTGAGACTTATACTTACTTCTGAATTGATGAAAACTCAGTCTGAGGAGATGAAGAGGTGCAAATAGTTTTCACCAGAGATACAACCGGTCAACAAAACTGTAACTGGTATCATCATCGGGCAGAAACCTGTTGACCCGACCAGTCGATCGTGCTGCACGGTTGATCGGTAACTTTTCTAAAAATTTTGACCGGTAACCGACTGGTACTCAGATTTTCCCGATCCGGTTGCATCTTTGGTTTTCACCACAACTGTATCTAATCAGATTCTACTTGATCTTTCTGGTATTCCACAATACCGGGCTAAAAAGTTTAGTTGCTTTTCCTCCATGTTGACGTTAAGTGTACTTTTTCTAACGCTGTTAGTCTTCAATTTTTCAGATTAATCTACTATTTATTTCTCGTCATGCTGTTATACAATCAGCATTTCAAAATAACGAGTGAATTGACTATTTTTAACTGCGACACTATCGAACAGAATAGAAAATGACACAAGAAAAAGGATACTATCGGTAATTGAGACATGACCCGTGTCACTGAATACAAACTGCCTAGTAGAAATTGAAGAGGGCTAAATTGGGTGGCAGTTTTGCATTAGTTGGTGGCTTATAAGTCCTATTCTTCCTGATCATTAAACCTGTCAATTGTCTATGATGGATGATTATTTTTCGTGAAGAGATTAAACAATTTGCACGAGAAATAAATTGCGTTTCAATGGTCACGGTTTTTTAGACTTCTGACAAATCAGCTCACACCCTCACAAATCCGAATAATAAAAGTAGCAAGTGAAGTAGAGACTTCAGATAATTCGTTTGTAGATGCATTTAAGTTCGAGCTTTAATGAAATCCGAAAATGATCCGAAATGTTTAAGCAACTAAGAATTATATTAGAAGAGTAAAAATGCCGAGAATACAGCAATGGCAAAAAGTGAGGGGTGGGAGTATACCACTAAAGGGAAAACAGAGATCAGATCGAGTTTGAAAAAATCTTCTGCATAGAGATAGTGTGAAAAAGTTTTTTTCTGTAGTCGAGAAGCTACTTTTTTACATAGGAAAAGAATGTGCACCCTCCTCCACCGCTGCGTTCTGCCATCCGTGCAGATATTATATTTAACTGACGAAAAAATTCCACAACTTTAACGTTAGTAGGATAAAAGCTTTGGAGTTTCTACATGAACTTGTAGATCAAATGTAAAGATGTATTAGTAAATTGGAGAACTTAGCAGTGTGGTACGATGCAGAATACAGTGCACTCTTTAAAAATTTTATACTCTAACTGTGCAGCGCAAAAAAATTTACTGTTATGGTCTCCGAACCATGCATAGCGATAGATCTGACACAGAAGAAAGATCTTTCATTTTCAAAGTTTATATAGTCTCAAGATCAATAATTATCTTTTTTTACTGTGTCTCGTTCTATTTTAGAGTACTCATCAATATTTGTATTTATTTGTAGAGAATATTTCTCAAATCGACTTAGCCCTGATTGTTATTCTTGTGCTTCCTTATGAACGTGCCATTATGGCTTCGTGTGCTGCCGTCAGTGAAGAAATTTTGTTTCCCTTCTTATACTCTTTCTAATTCTATAGAGAAATTTAGTGTGTATTGTGTGCTGTATAGGGTAATGTCTATTATAATATAACGGCTGCGTGCATAGAACACATTCTGTTCCTTCTATTCTCTATATTCAAACGACGCACACTAAGGCAGTATATAAAGGCATAGAAAAGAGAACAACGTACACACACATACACTACAGCACATTTCTTCTCTTCTTCTCTAGTCTATAGTGCAAGCAGAAACACAGTCAGCTTCATTCGTATCATAAATTCTTCACAAAGAACACACATACATCAATACAACAGTGTTTCTTCTACTACTCAGCACCAACCAAAGTAACGACATCTCAAGTTCAATATATAACATTCATTACGTTCAAATACTATGTAAGTTAAAGTTTATTATTTTACAAAAAAATACATAGAAATCTCCTTAGTCAGAAACAATCACGATTAGATTTCACTATATTCGTGCTTTCTCTTGTGAGAAATAATTAGTGCGAAGAAAACTGTCAAATACATACTTCATCTCTACATTCGACGTACCCACATATAGAGTTAAATTTTTATATTTAATATTTTAAAATATTATATTTCAAATTCTAATCATCATTAGTGGGTATAGCGTGCAAGTTTAGCATCTGTTTGATAGTCAACAATTTATTTAAGAATAAAATTAAATCGACAAACATATACTTGAAGCAATATTGTAAAAAGAAAAGATCATACGATATGCGAACGGTATTTTGAGATATCTAAAAGCATTTTTAGATTTAGAAAAAATTAACTTTTACCTTGAGGATATTCCGAGTATATGAATCAGATGAGTGGAAATAAGAGATAAGCGATTTTGAGAGACTTCAAACAAAGGTTTCGTAAAGCAATCAAATGACCGCTATGTGTGTTGCTAATCTTTCATCTTTTGTGAGAAGACGGAGATCCCGAGTATTAGAAAAACGTTTGAGACTTTAGTTCAGTACTTTTCGTAATATTTTAGTGTTATTATCTTTTTCCTATTCTAGTAAATCAAACAAGCAAGAATGCCTCGTCAACCAAAAGCTGTCAAAGATCCTAATGCTCCTAAACGTCCACTATCAACATTTTTTTTGTTTTCTCAAGATGAACGTCCAAAAATAAAAAAGGATAATCCATCGTTATCAGTTGCTGAAATAGCTAAAGTTATTGGTGAAGTACGTTATTTCTTTGATTTTGATTAACTGATTCACGCTCATAGCCTCATGAATATTAAATGGATATTGTCTAATCGTTCTTTGTATATTTTAGCGTTGGCGCGGGATCGGAGATGATGCTAAACGAAAGTACGAAGAAAGAGCCAAGACTGAAAAAGCTCGATATGAAAAAGAATTGGCGGATTACAAAGCATCAAAATAGAGTATGTTCACTCATTAATACGAAGAACATTGAAAAACACCAATCATATAATCACATTTAGTTAGTTCGTTCTTTTTTTGTTTGTAAATATATGTTTGTTTCGTTTTTTTGGTGTTGTAACTAATACACAGGCTCGCTCTCGTTTCTCGTATTTTTGTTTTTGTTCTTCAACAATACCTAATCGTTGTTTTTTCTCAGTGTGGTGAACACTTTTTGTTGGTTTTCGTTGCATCAGATAAAATCAAGGACTATTTTTTTCTGCTGTTGCACTTGTTGAAAACATACTTGGTAATGATATTGTTTTGATTTACAAAAAAATAAAGGAAAAAGTTATATTTTTGACGAAAACTATGTTTGTTGCTGTAGTTTCGTTTACATGGTTAGCTAATAGCTGATAAATCAAAACACCGGGATTAGACTTTTGGGAAAGTGCAACTAACGAGGGATGAATAGTTAGAAACGACGCTTTGATTTTAGCAGACAAATGAGTTTTTAAGTGGATGAAGTTTGAGCATTTTGTTTATTTTTATCTCATTAAAAAACCCGAACTATTTGCATATGATTTGGAGCCAGTTCCTGCTGAAATTTCAGCGAACAACGGTATAATAGTGACACATTATAACAACAGCCTCATCAGATATCGCACAATAAACTAACAATTTCATTTGAGAAATAAGTGGTAGCGCCAGACATTTCTACCAAACATTCTCTATGTGTAATACATTATTTTTTCTTTGTGATGCACGTTCATAAAGTGAATGTTCACTTAAAATACTAGTTTTACAAAGTGGATCCCATAAGAAATAATCACTCTTTTTAGTTTATCTCAGCTATACAAAGCTTCTAATTATCAAGCAGATAGGGAGAACTCACTAGAGTTCTCGGTAGCATACGCATTAACTTTTAATACACGTGTTTGCCTGAGACAGCTTGCCGAAATTCGAGTATCAAGTCAACTTATCCCAAATCAATTACTATGGCATTCTATTGGTCATTACAGCTACTGTTTCAACTTTCACAATAACTTTTCTGCATGTTATATTGTACATTAAACACTCTAAGCCCTAGAAAGAAACTCACATTTTAAAATTTCATTCAAAGCCTTCAGACATAGTCAAATGGAAGCTTATTTGGAATTTATCTAAAAATTTATAAATTTACCCTAAAAAATTTTTTCAATGAACCTCGCATCAACATAAGAAGAACTTCTTTTATTTCTCGACACAACTTGTTTTAATAACACATTCGGATGTTGTCAACACTCCGTGACTGATTATCAAAACATTCGTCCAAAATCTCTTACCAGAAAGCTAATTTTTTTCAACGTTAAAACTAGTATTGTGGACAAAACATCAAAATACAAGAAGTGCAGTGATAACATTTGAAAAAAAACGCTATCTTCGTGTATCTTGAATATCCCGGCGGTCCTTAGATGAAAATCGAAAGTGCATTTTTTCCGGATTCAAATAGTGGAATGTACACTTCGATCTGTGAACTATTTAATGGCATAAATAGTTTTGTTCCTAGTGCTAAGGATACTAACGATCGTGCGAAAACATACTGTTAAAAAAATTAACCTGATAATACAAAGGCATGAGATAAAAAAGCTTTTTAATAAATCCGGTGAAATTTAAAATAAAAGCACTATAAATTATAAATCGAGACTCATTTAGGTATACAATAGTGAAAAAAATGTTTAGTTTCGACCTATACTTTGCGAGAAATAATAATATTTATTGTTTTTCATGCTAGGTGATTTTCCTTAGAGTTATCCTTAGTGTACTGAAGTTCCAAAGTTTCTGAGATGCTCAAAGTCTGCTAAAATATTTGTCTATATATACTACATCTATACAAATAGCACAAATGCTCCTGGTGCGTACAAGAGGTTTTCCAAAATCCCTTGATGTTTGAGTTAAAATTTCCTTTTTTCACAGTCCACGAACACTTGTAAGAAAAAGTGAGATCGTATTCGGAATCGGCACGTCGATTTACATCGAACCATGTATAACACAACAAGTTTTGGATCGAAATTACCCATCGAACCACCGTGGGCAATTTTCAATAGGCACGTGGAAATTTGTTTCAGAGCTATTGGTTCAACCGAAAATTTTGTTTTTAATAGGTTTCCGTGCGCGCTCTTTCTTATAGCATCCGTATCCCAGCTAAAATCTGGTTTTGTGGTGGTTTTCCACTGATCCAGTCTCTTGGAAACCTTCAAAAAACCACTTTGAAAGTTTTTCAACAACACCATTAGATTCTTTATGGCCGAAAACCTATAGAAAACTGGTTTTTACAATTTTCGAACACTCAAGATGCCGTGCAAAAAACAGCAGCTTTAACTTTAGAGAAAAATCTTGGAAAATCTATTTTCAGAAAAATTCATTATACATGCGTTGAAAGCGGTAAAAGGACACATCATTAGATGCAATTTTTGATGCTGATTTCGAATATGTCCTTACTTTTTAGCTGGGATGCTTTTTTACTAAGAAAAATGTGAGAAAACGATAAAAATCCAGGGTTTTTGTAAAATCTACAACTTCGCCCAGAAATGTTTGGGCAAGTTTGGGCATTCCATCTAGACGTGCCACATACAGAGGAACAATTGCTGAAAGTTTCATTGAAAACAGAGCTTGGATGTGGATGGCGTGCCCACTTTACTGGGCACATGTTTCCGAAAGACATCTCATGCAGATAAAAATCATGTTCTTTCCTTTTCGCAAACCCGTTCGGACAAAATTTTTTTTATGAATCAATACCCCAAGCGCGCAGCTTTCAGAATATATATGTTACCATTTTTAAGTGACTGCCTATTTGACCAGAGAAAACGATTTTCGTTGAGTTGTACCAAAAATTGCAAAAAATTGGGACTTACCCATCTCGATCACTTAAAGTATTTGGATCAAATATTTTTCACCATTAAATTGGCCATTAGCTAGTGTATATAAAATACTATTTAAATCATTAAAAAAGTAGCTTTCGTTTTTTCACCTAATTTCCATGTGATTGCCCACTGTGCGAACCAGTAAGACCGATTTTTCGAAAAAATGAGTAAGCGATGATAATTAATGAAACGTGAAAAAATGGTTTACAAGCAAAAGTTCTGGTGTTCGTTTACTATCAGAAAAATGCCCGCTGTGTGCCGCACGTTTGTAATCAAAATACTAAAACGATCACATTTGTTACGAAACTTACACACTATACGTAGCTAGAAATTCACATATTCTCAGTATCAATTTTACGATTATTATTATCCGTCCTCTTCACAAGACAGTTAATCATCAATAATATTTGCCAATTGTGCTATGATATATAAAAACAAAGTAACACTGAACTTATATAGGTTCAGGAACTCTATTAAATAAAACGCGAAGCAGCGATACATAATTACCAATAATTGATAACACAAACTATATTATAGCTGCACTTGTAACAAGTAATCTTCTTTGAAACAGAAGGTGCATGGTAAATGCATTATTAAACAAATGTAGAAAACTATGTAGACACATTTTCGTTTTTCTAAAGCCAAACCGGCAGCATCGTAGATAGTGGCACATCCCAAAAGTTGGAAAAGTTGCTATTTTTTCATTCTAACTCGTTCAATTTGCTTTTTATCGATTTACCATGGAGAGAGTCCTTTTTAACAACTCTCCAGTATTCGATTCTTACTTTCTTAGTCCACAGAAAACTGCATATTCAGTTCCACAACGCGTGTCTTGTACAACTACGTGGTCTCATATATCGTAGTAATAAATTTGATCAGTATTATCAAATATGGTCATTAATAATGTGACGCATCTATAAAAAAGTTTCTATACAAGTTACGATCTGTGCTCTAAATTAAAGTAAAGTTTTTCATAGATTTGTTACTATTAATGAGCACATTTAATAATACTGACCAAATTTATTACTACAATATGTGAAGAATTACATTCAAATGCTTAAGATCATAGAGCATGCTAATCTTACGTTATTGAAATGCAAATTTTCCGTATGTTGTAGATGATGAGATGACTTTTACTTAAAGAGTATTTCAGAAATTTACTTCTGAAAAACACCAGAGATTTGTCTTGGAAAACTCCATGTCTTTGAATAGATCGGCCCGAATAATCCCATTTAGAGAATTTGGGCTGCTTTGAAGGTGCAGGTCTCCGTTTCAATAGTGCGAAAATCGTTAGAGATTTTCAGGAGATTTTCCCATTAGTAGGTGAACAAATGTTGATTGTACCTTAATTTTCAATAGCACGTTTATCCGATCAAAAATGACTTAGAAATACGATATAAACTGAGAAACTTTGAACAAGTGGCTCGATTTACCCCATAATACTTTATCTATTTTTCTTTTCTTTTACAAGAAGTTAAGGTCGAGATAAGCTACAATGACAACGAATAGCTGCTACTAGCATTCTTCATATAGAAGCTTACGACTCGTAGCTTATATTAATCAAAAGCAAAAAAGACGAATAACGGAGAAACATGTTAATGTAGGAAAATTAAATTAGCGTCTAAAAATCTAAGTAAATTAAATCTTTTTGTTTTGGCATATGCTAAGACTTATGTAACGAAGCACACGTAACGATAACTTTTTTAGCGGAATTCACCAGTTTTGCTTCATTCCTCTCCATTTCCGTTTAGTTCGAAAGGTGGCGCAAGTAGAACGATGACGACATGAATGACAACCTTTAAGACTTATACATACACATTTTCTCAGACTCTAATCCTTGTCACATGGAAGCATTTAGTCTTAAGATACACAATTTTTTAATTCTGAATGTTTGTAAAAAGATTCATTGAGATGTCTTGACAACGTAACCGCATGGTTACAAAATGGTGTCGATACTCTATTCTTTTCTCTCTCTGCTGACTACGTATGTATATATGTACTGTACTATTGGTACTACTATTCCGTTTATATAAAAGAAAGGTCAAATTACATCAAAATTTCTTCTCTTTTTTCTTTGAGTATAGTAGTAGTTATTGTAATGATCAGCACTTCAATTTGAATAAGAAAAATATCAATAAAACAAGAGATTGAGTTGTGATTTTTATTTTTAGACATATTTTATCTTTCAAAAAACAAAAATAGATCTATTTACATAATACATTTAAGAAAGTGATTACGTATTGAATAAAATAAAAGATCAAGTAGTTTTGTGGTTTCAAGTGTTTTCTTAACCTTTTACCACGCATTAATAGTAATAGTTACTTAATAATTTCAAGTAATTAGGTAATAAAGTGAGCAAAAGAGATCCTTTTCAGACAACAAAAAAAAAGTTGTCATAAAAGCGTTTCTCACACAGCTATCAAGTTTGGTTCATTAGCACATTATTGGAACGTTACTTTTTTTAGTGAAAATACTATTCTAATGTATACTCTGTCATTGGCGTTGATGCCTCAGACAGAGAAAACAAATACTTGATTGCGAACTCTTTTGTTTCTGACATTGGTGATACCTAGTAGTGGAAGGTTTGACCAATGTAAAAAATTTTAATATGTTAGATGATCAATTTTTCCTGTGAAGAGACCTTCAAAAATCGACCCTTTTCCTTATACTAATGCATCTATTTCTATATTAATATGAGTTTTATTCTTTTGTGTCTGTTGTAGATATTTATTCTTATATTATAACTGCAAATGCTATGAAAGAAGAACAGCCTTTGGCTCCTGTTGAAGATGATGAATGTGACTCGAGTTATTATTCGCGTCCGTCAACTACAAAATCTAACTCTTTATTTTCCTCTCTTTATCGTGTTGCAAGTACAGATGAAATAAGTAATTTTTTACAACAACAATCTCTTCGTTTAACAAATGGAAATCGAATTGATAATGGGGACAGTGATTGCAGTATGGATGGAAGTTTATTATCGAGTTTTACAAGAAGTACTGTTCCACTACAAACACCAACAACACATGGGTAAGTGTTAACAAATTCAAAAATATCTGATACATTAGTCTAATAGTCTTTTTATTTATATTAAATTTGTATTATTAACTAAATTAGAATCATCCACACATATAGAGAGTTTTTTAGAAGCCGCCAGAAACAAGACATAGGTGCAAAATCTATGCATGTGCTCGTACGTGGAAAATTTTTGGATACTATGAAAAATTTTCCAACGGAAAAATGTGGAATTTTTCTTCATAGGAAGATTTGAGAATTTTCCAGATAATAAGAGATAAACCGATCAAAGCCTTTTCTAGATTTCAAATGTGGAAATTTTCCAAAACTTTTACCATTCGTGGAAAATTTTTAAACTCACAGGTAGATTTTGCACCTCTAGCTGCGAAAGAGGACGTCTGTATTTTAAGATTTGTTTAAAAAAATGATTATCTCTTGTAAGTCTATTATCACTTAGCTGCTTCATAAACAATTAAATAGTTAGATAACATAATACAGCTGATCTGTAGCGACTATTGAAGGTTGTGTCTAAATTTTTATAGTGTCTTTGGATTAACTTACGTAAGTCAGAATAAACAAACATCGGATATGGTATTCAGTTTCAAGATTTTACATAGCCAGATGAGTGAATTGTAGCGCTTCAAAAACTAATAGCTAACTCCTGAAACATTGGTATATTAAAAAGTTCTTAAAAAGGAGCTATAGTTTGTTATTAAAAATTTGAAAGAAAAGTGTATCAATGATTTATGTTTTTCAAAAGTCTATTTTGAATTTTTTCGCTTTAGAACATCAAAATTAGTCACAACAACACCTTCAACTTACAGAAAACCAATCACACCTTATTTAAGTCGTTCATGTTTTGCATCAATAACTTCTACACCTGTTAAATTAAAACCTGATCATGATCTGACAGAATTATCATGGCTAAATACGTTTAAAGTAGGCCCACAAATTGAAACAGCAATAAAAGATGAAAGTAAGTATCATAGAAAAATATTTGAATTTTGTCTTGGTGAAAGATAATTAATTTATTATTCAGGCTGTTATATTGTGTGTCTTGATTTTCTAATTTCTTTTTTCGTTTAATTATTATTATTATAGTTCAATCAAACAATAGTGATCAGCAACAAGATGAAGAAAATAAAACGACAAAATTATTGGCAAAATTAATATCAGAATTGAAACAAATTGATCCAAGACAAATAGAGTTAACAACTACAACGACTGAAGATAAACCTCTAGTATCTTATGGTGTACTTATATTTCTATCGTTAAAAGCTCAAACAAAATCATGGTGTTTATCGATTAAAGATTTATATGAAGATATTCAAGAAAAGTATCCGTACTTTAAAACAGCAAAGCGTGGCTGGAAAAATACAATCAGAGATACACTCATACAAATACCATGTTTCAAAAAAATTAAAAGAGAAGTAAGTTTATACTATAACATGAAAATGAATCTCAATCATTGAAATATTAATTGTATATTTTGAATTCTACTTTTTTTTGGCACACTCTTTTTGTTTTTCAACATTACATGCGCATACTAGAACGAATTGTAACGTCGTTAGCCAGGAATTCTGATTCTTGCTCGATTTTTCTTGCAGATGGAACATATTTTAAAATAATGGATATATTTACTCTTTTTTTTTAGGCTGTACCTTATCATCACCGCAGCGTATGGACAATTGACCCTTATTATCGACCATTACTAACCAAAGCTTATGCTTCTATACCAGCACAGAAAACCACGACAACTGATACATCGACTCATAACGGGTACGAAATTAACAGTGAAGTATGGTATCAGATAAGTTTTAAGCGACTAAAATATTAATGATTATTGTTCAAATTTGTACATTCAGTCCTCTGTCACTTTTTCAAATAGGAAATGCATCATATTAAGAGGTGAGCGAAACAATTTTGTATTGTGGAATTTCATAAGATGAGACGAAACAAAACGAAATAGATTTTTTTAAATTATTTTGCGAGACAAGACGACATTCCGTCTCTTTAGTGCACCATTTGGAACTAATGACATCTAGACGTGCGTGCTAGTTGCGCTACTGCCACTAGCGTAGAATTTTTTGGAAATTATACACCGCCCCCGCCAATCAAAAAAATAATTTCTTGAAGTTTTTCAAAAATTTTTGGTAACAATTTATTGAGAATTATAACTTTTCTCTGCTAATAGAGGTGTCCGCTATGCCGCAGCCGAAGGTGGAAAATTTACTGGATGATTTCTGGCGCCGATTTTTAAAACGAATCGACTCGTCGCCGCCAACAGAAATATCGTCTCACATCTCTAATGACCCCTCAATTGATTACAGAACTGTAGAGAGACTTTTAGTTCTTTTTTCATTTTTTTTTGTATTTTTGATGCGATAATATCGCATCAAAAATACAAAAAATACCCGTTTTGTCCAATCCTAATCATGGCATCAATTTGGAGAACATAAGTGATTTCTCGGATTATGTTAAATTTAATTGTAGAATTCTCTTGTTTTTTAATATTCGTATACCTGCAAAACAAACAAAACATGCGCCATTGATTCGTTCAATCTGTTAAACGATTTTAAAGATGACTATTGGATATAAAATATCTCGCATTAACAGACCGATATTATTATTAACTTTTGTTTTAATTTGACACTTTTTTTCATTCATTTATTTCAGTACATTATCCGATGCTGCATCTAATCGACATGATTCAACAACGACAAAGTAAAAACTTATAGTAACTGAAACTTATTCTCGATGTCTGTGACCTTTTTTTGCTTTCTTTATTAGTGAATCAAAATGTCCTGTATTGATTCTATCTAACTTTGCTCCGAAAGCAACAGTGAAATCGAAAGGTATATTTTTCTTATACAATCTGTATCAAACGGTGAAGAAAAATATTTTCTCAATCACGAAAATACTTGATTATTAATCAATTTGAGGACTTTTGTAAGATCACAAGTAACAGGGTTTCATTCGGATAGCGTCATAGTTTCTTTTAAAACTTAAACTGGATCAATTTTTTTCATTCAAAGTTATTTATACGCTTAAAATTTTTTGTTTCTTTTCATGCATATTTTAAGGTGAGATGAACACGTCTCTTAGCTATCATTTGAAAGAATAAACAAGAACTTGAGCAAAGTAGAAATTTTAAAAAGAATGAAATTGCCGACATTAATTAAGATGAAAACTGGAATCAAATATACCATTTGATAGTGAAAAGTGTCATTCTGTATACTACAAACATTGACCGTATGTTAGAAAATTTTATACCAGTAATACGTCGTCGAGAGCTAAAATTTAAAATAAATGTTGGAGAGGAGATTTTTGGAAAGACGCTTCAGAATAGATTCTTGTAAATTTGTTTCTCTTTACCGTATGAATATTTCTGATACTGACTGTATAATAAATAGAAGTCATAATTTCATTTTTAACTTTTTTTTAATTATTTTCTAGAATTATTTCCTCGTTTATACGAAAAATTTTGTGAGCAAACCGAAACCGATAAACAGCAAGCCGATTCGAGTAAGAATATACAAATAAGAGTTTACTAATATGTAAACATGCTTCTGTTTTTCATTTGTAGATTATGTACAATCAGCAGCTGCCACATTATTAATGATTAGATCACGGTCATCTTCCATTAAACAAAGTGTAACGGAAAACAGTACATTGATCGGTATGTTTATAGCGTAGTTCACTTTCGATAAATTTTTACACCATCGTTGTCACTTTTTTTTTGAAAATAATGCAATTTTATAGAAAAAATTTACTACTGTGATAATAACAGTAGCTGTTTTAAAATTCATATTTATTTTAATTTTACAATTTATTTTTTCGACGTTTCGAAAAAACATTTTTCATTATCAAGAGTATCAGTCGAAGATAAAAGTGTTAACGAAAAATTGAAATTAAAAATAGTATTTTAAAATAGCTGTTGTTATCATCACGACAATTTTAAAATTTGTACCCATCAATGTCAAAAAGTTTACTGTTTTTTACGAAATTATTGTTCGTCATAGCTGCTGATTCAACGATTGGCTAAACATTTCGAAAAGCTATGAAGAGGTTTATTTACTTGACCGACCTAATGTTAAAAATTGCAAGATTTAAAAATTTATTGCTATGTTAGTGATTTAACTAATTTTAAAGTGTTTTACTGCGCAACGAAAGGAACAAGAAACTGTAGTTAGATATTCAGTTCAATTATTTGAATCTTTAGTTGCTTCTGAATGAAATTTTATTAATCGAGTTTGTATCTGATTGATTTATAACCACCTTTTAGATGATGATAATCCTCGTTCAACTTCAATTCATACTTCTTCAAAACGCTTGCGTGATTCTAAATTGTGGCATACTAAACTATCACAAAGTTATTCACAAAAACGAAATTCAAAAAGACAACGGCAAAATTCTACTGGTAACAACAACAGTAGCGAGATACGGTATAAATAGATATTCATCAATCATTGATTTGTAGCTAATAAAATGAAAATATTTTTTTTTTAAATAGTATTCGTCGTTATTCATCAGCAGCTGCTTTGAAATCATCTACTCCCGTTATTTACACCCCTTTTCCAAGCACAGATCATACTTATGGAGTTTGTATTGTTAAAGAAAAAAGACAAAAACGAATATCATCACCAGCTAGTTCCACCGGCTCTATCGAATACAGTAAGTATCGATTTTACTTTCTTAACATCTCTTATTAAACTTTAAGAGTGTCAACAACAGACAAAGTCTTCTGAGATTATCTTTTCTCCATCATGTCTGTTACTGAAAATGATTATCAAAAAAGCATAAAAAATTGAGAGCTATTCATGTTTTCTAAAAGAGTCACGCAAAAAAATTTGCTGATTATATTTTAGGTGATCCATCTGAAAATCTTTTAAAAGGAAAAATTCTAACAACTCTAAATAATAATTCGATTGAGGAAGACGATGAAGCTGACAGTTCTAAATCTATTCAAAAGAAAACAACACCAAAACAAACACCCATTGTGTCTCATCGACAACCGATCGCCACTCGTTCGAAATCAAAACGGAGTGAACTTAAACGAAAACTAAGGCCGACCAAGATATCTTTTGTAGAACCTTCACCACCTACTAGAAAACAGAAAACAAGAACAAAAGTTCGTCAACATATCCTCACTCGGTCCTCTCAAACTGCAAAAGTTCGTCGACCAGATCGTCCACGAGTAACACCGTTAGTATCAAATCGTATAAGTCGGCGTATTATCGAACAAGATTTAGAGCTCTTGAGACAAAGTACATATCAGGAACCACGTAAGTACATTACTGTTAAACAATAGTTAATTTGCAATAGCTAATAAATAATTCTCATTATAGAACCGCTTGATTTAACTGTGAGAAAAAAACGGCCACTGTTGTTAATAAATGATCTATTAAAATTATCTGAAGTTGCATCGAGTGCTCTGGAAGAATTAGAACAACAAAAACAACAACTAAAGCACAAGAACAGTGAAATAACAAATAGACAAGAAACTGATAATGATGAAGTATTAGATTTATCGATGACAAGTACACATTTAGAACATCAATAAACATCAATAAAAATAATCTTCTTTTTCTTGTAATCAAGTATGCTTTATACGCTCAATGAAAATTTGTTTTTGTTTTTGTTTTTTTTTGTCTGAAATTAGTCTTATTCACTAATCAACTAGAAATCTCAATTTTTTTTTCCCTTTGGACATTGATGAAGTTCTTGTCGGGCAAAACAAATTATTTCATCACATTTTTATGGGTTTATAAAACATTTTTGTTGACTATATGTACTCAGTGCGTAAATATCTAATATACATCTCTCTTTCTCCTTTCATGTTTCTTTGTGCAATAGATTTTCTTATTTAATTCATTTTTTTATATACGTATGGTGTTGGTATGTGCAAACTGCTCTTTTTTCTGATAACTCAGGGCATATTGTCCTACTTCAGAAACACTTTTTTTTTTCGCTTGTTTGGTGCTAATTTTTTTTCTTTATCTGTTGACAGTTTTGTTAATTTTTTATGTAAATTAGCATACTGATATGTGCAACGTAGCATCAGTCCGGTAATTACTATAAATACAGAGGAAAGTTGACATGTGAAACCTTAGTTTAGTATTGGTTGACAAGGATGTCTTGGGAAAATATGAGATAGAAATCCAGTGATTTTTAACAGATTTGAGAGTTCAGCAATATAAAAGATGTAGAATATACGACTGGTGTAATTTACATATCTTTTACTCCCATAAAGATTCCGTAATTTTATACGAATCTAAAGTGATTTTCTCGTTTGACTAGTAGGTTTAGGTGTATTTTTATGCAAAAATTAGAATAACTATTTTTAGTTTTTTGCTCTATATTCATACATCTATTTCGGTGTACAAACTCATTATTTCTTTCCTTGTATTTTATACTGTTTGTTTATTTTGTGTCTTTCAACTACTCTTTTTCTTGTTGATAATATTACATTGTATTACTCTCGTCATCTTTGTCTTCCTTTCGCAGAATTATCTTTTTCTATGTAAGAAAAAAAACATCGAAATTTAGTATTCATTTTCGAATTAGATAACTAAAACATTTAGTTGACATTTTCATCTCTATATTTGTAATTTCTTTTTTTTTGTTGGAGCTTTTTTTTATAATATGTTTGATGTTGTTGTTGTTTAGTTAGCGAGAAAAATGGTCGTTGAACTGTGTGTGAATGCTTTGTTTTTTTATGGATACTTTTGGATGAGTGCTATGTAGTTTGAAATTAAAGATGCAAGAAGGATAAATATTTAAACCATATTTCTGATTTAGCAAAGTAGTCTGTTTAAATGAGTCAGATATGGTTCGATTCTAATCAGCTAAAAAATATAATGCTGTTAATTTCAGATCTTATTCAAGTAGTGTAGGAAAAACAGTATCATTGTATGCACTTAACTGATTCCCTCTACTCCAAATTAAGTATTATTAAGTTTAACAGTCAAATCTAGTACAAGCTTACTCAAGACTTTGCTATTAACTATGAATAAAAATCCCTGAATAGTCAAAATTAAAAGTAAGGTTCCCAGATGTTCCGCGTTTTGTCAAAACATGAATTTTTGACCAATGATCGGATACACTTTTTGTTTTGTGTTTCTTCCGAAACTTTCTGTAGAATTTTTTACAAATATCTTTTAAATTGAAACAAAATAGCAGTGTGCACGATGAAATAGACATGTCAACAAGAAAAATGAAACTTATCATTGTCAAAACTTAAAATAGAGCTTTTTATTTTGAATGAACCCTTGAGATCTGCATCACATTTATAATCACTTTTGTCGAAGGAGCTGGAACTCTGATATAATTCATAGATACATTTTGGGATCAGTAAGTATCACGGTGAAAATGTTTTAAAATTGATTTTCAACTTTAACAACATGGATTTTCTGGAAAATTTCAAAATTTTCAAAATCAATCCTATCCATTTTCACATATATTGGATAATAACTTTGATAACAAATACATTATTTATCGCTTTTTTATCGCTTAGTATCGTTATTGTTGAATATGTTTTATTGCCTACCGTTTGGTGACCTAAACTAGTCTTATTAATATTTCAAAGCTTTTGTGTTATAAACCAGGGCTCCGTATGAATCGGACTACTGAAGATTTGAAAACTACTGCTGTCTTTGAGTTAATCAGATTATAATTCTGTGTAGCTTTAAACGCTAATAAAGGTTTTTAACCTTTTCCGTTCGGAAAATCCGGTGATCTATCACACTTTCTGCTATTGAATATAAATTTTAGAGTTCGAACTTTGGTTCTCGTTACACTCTGATGCTCTTATATCTGTTGTCAAAAAACACGATCATACGCATTATCCCACCTATTTTAATGACAAAGTTAGGAAAAGAACAAAATCATTGTCCATAATCATCTTCTAATATCCGCATTACGTATAAATATGTGCTTTCATGTTCTTTAATTAAGTAGACTAATCTACAGTCAGTTGTATTCGATTATTACTTCTGCCCTTGTTCATGCACGCATTATGTCGTCTATTCTCATTTTTGATCTATCATTTTCGCATTGGGGTGCATTCAAAGATGAGCACTTCTCCTGTATACTTATCAAATTGGTGTTCAATACGTACATTCTCTTTCGCTTTTGTATTATCTATCATACGGACGGATGTAAAGTGTTTTATTCAGTGAAGCAGAACGGGTGAGGATGATGTGTTGAACATAAACGATCAACCGTAGTTAGTTTGTTTTTATAAATCCCTAACGTTGTTGCATGTTCCTTTAAAATCTTCAATTGGAAAAAAATGTAAATAAATTGGTAATTAGATGAAAATTTGGTAAGCATGTCAAGAGAAGTTTCCAAGATTATGAGAAAATCTCGGTTTTTAAAATTACTAAATGATTGCTATACACACATTGACAAGTATCTTCTATGTAACATATTTGATAGTAGAGCCGGTGTAATTTATCTATGCAATATTAAGTAGCTAATTATTATCAGTTCACTAACAGTTTGTAGACCGATATATTATCGGATAATTTATCGTTAGAATGTAGATTTGGTGATGTTTGAAAAAGAAAAATTTGGAGGATATCGAAAAGTAATAGATGTTAGAAATTTAGAATTAGAGACAGGATGCCAGAAACTGTAACTCACGCTCCTACTTTGTATCAAAGTACTTTTTTGTGTTTCATTGTCATTAACAGATCAAATAATGCTCACTCTCAACTTTGGTTAATATTATCAGTCATTAAATGCGTATGTTTTTGCTGTTTTGGATTTAGTTTAATAATAATGGTGTAGATTGAGCCAAAGAACTTGATGGATATGTGAATTGCAGATATATATATACTGCTGTTCGTACAGCTAAAGTCGTTTAACATATGATAGTTACTGTTAGCATTTAACTGTCATTGGATCTCACCTTAAATCTTATATATATCGTTTTTTATATCGCTACAAGAAAACAAGAGACTTTAAATACTGTTGTTATTTATATATAACATGAATTGTTTAGAAACAAAATCAATACAACAAATTATCATGTAAAACATACACGTTGGTCTTCTTATTTTCTCATCAAGCATATGTGTATAAATACTTTTTTCCTTGAATCTAGTCGTCCGTGACAAAGTATCTGTGCCTTTTCCTTCTAAAATTTTAATTATGATGTAAAATGCTGTTGAGATAATAAAAAAGAGAAATGAAATCAAGATTGATACGGTCCGGAAAACAGTGTTCGAATATGTTGAAGGCATAACTAAGCATGTCACCAGAACCTGAATATGCCCTGCACAGTGGGGATTTTTCTATAGAGCAGGTGGACATCTGATTTTTTGAGTTAGAGAATGATTATTTTAGCATAATATGGTCTTACTATGTGTCAGATATTAGCGAAAGTAAAAAAGATCGAATTCGAAAAAAAATTTTTTTCGACAAAAAGTTCCTTAGGGGGACCCTTGCCTTGAATTTTTGTAAAAAAATGTTTTATTTGTAAAACTAACAAACTATACATCATTCGACGTAGTTTTTCACGGCGATTCCGAATATGACTTTATGTTATGGAAAAAGTGCTCTTACGGGGGAGAAAAACGCGAATTACCTCCTATGGGTTTTGTAAAATCAATAACTCGACTTAGAAAAAAAGACGAGATCATCATAAATACACGATAGGCTGAGGAACATTTTCATGTAATTAGAAGGTCTGTTCAGGCTTAGCGCTTTTTAGCGCTGTCACTGCACTGAGATTGTCTCATGTCGAACCGTAGTAATCTAGACTACTAGACCTTTTGTCGTTTCGTACAAGATGCAAAAGGAGTGCCTTCTATTATCAGAAGATGCAATAGGTTGTGTTGATTCCGAATATGTCCTTTGGATAGGGTAATATTGCACGTCTGTACATAGAAATAAGAATCTTTGCAGATGTGTCATAGTTGACGGTGGTTTTTGTGAATGTTCGTAAGTTAACTTACTCATCGAAGGAGTTCATTACTAGTCGATCATTATATACCATTCGATAGCGCTTTTCAAGGGCTACATTTACTACTGTTCGACTTCAAAAAAGCTCACTTATCGATTTTTGCTTAAATTTCCGCCTGAATGGCCACTGTGCCCTGGTAGGTGTATACTTTACTGACTGAAAACAGTGTGAATAAAAAATGTTTTTGTAAGATACTGCGGTGGTTGAAAAATGCAGCCACGATCCATTTTCACATGTTTTTTTAATGCTTCTCACCAATGAGCCTTGAAAAGACGCGTTTTGGATAAACTTTTGGTTGATTCTTTTATGCTGAATCATCTAGTCATATAGAGTCGACTATACTGCTCACGAATATCACTTTGAAACTTCTCAAAAGTAAGTGAATAGCTCAGGAGAACTTTTTCATTAAAACAGACCTTTCGCCAAAAAATGAGGTTTTCAACCACTAGAGCTCAGAGTTAGTATGAAAAATAGATCAAAAGCAGCTGTCATGAACATTCACTGTCTATGTATCATATATGATTCATTTAATTTTTGACCATGGAGTTCATATATCAGATATGATTTAACCCTTTCCAGCCGGCTGTTTCTAAAGCAGCAAAAAGTGTTGCCAAATGGTAACATCCGTCTGCAAAGGGTTCCATTCAGTCTTTCTAACGTATTCTTCATCAACTCTGTTGCATATATCTGAGTGCATTTGGGCGAAACTTCAACTTGTTCCAAGTGTTGCGCTTAAAATTCGTTATCATTTATCTGTCGTGTCCTACTCTCGATCGACACACTCTTTCGCCATGTGAAATTTTAAAATTCGGATCATTTTCGATCAATTATGCTATCATGTGTACTGAACTTGCTGTTTTTATTAACTTCTACTTCGTGGATGAATTATAGTTCGAATCTTTTGCTTTCCGTCAATGTCAAAGAAACTGCTAGTTTCGATTTTCAATTTATTTTATATTTACTCCATAATGCAAATAAACACTAAGCCTGAACATCCCTTTGCAATAAATCAGCAGTCAATCGACTATTAATCATCTGTCTTGCTTCATATGCTCCTGTTAGCATAGTCAATTAATCTTCGATTAATTTAATCTTACTTATCTCAATTGCTTCTGCTTTATGTCATTATTTCCTCATTTTCTATCTGACCAAAGATTGAAATTAATCTTTCTTTTCTCTGTTTGTTTTGCATGATTGGCTTTTATGATTAGTTTCACAATTTGACTAATAAACACATAAAAAAGATCTTTTTTTGTGTCTAAACGAACATTACAGAGCTTTATTTCTACTTAATTAGAAACTTCAACTATTTTTTATTGTTTTTTTATCCATTCTGTAGCGGGAAGTTTTTTCTGTTTTATATACATTAACTTGCCTATTAAACCTCCCCTCACACTAAAAAATAGTCTGTTTTCAGATTTATGTGTTTGCTTTCAGAATCTGTATAACTTTCAGCCCTGGAGGTGATTTTTCATTATATTAGAGAAAGTTTTCTGGAAACCTCGAAAGATAATATACTCGAATACTAGTTTTTCCTCAAGATTTATGCAATTAAATTACTTTTTAAGCTTTATACAACAAACGTACACTTACAGAGCCGGATTTTTGATTTTCGACTTCGTTTCTGAGAAAAATAAAGAGATTCCGAAAACTTCATGAAAATTCAGAAAAAATAGCCAGGTTTTTAGAAACCCTTTATTTTTCTCAGAAACGAAGTCGAAAATCAAAAATCTGGCTCTGTTAAGTTATAGTACCAATTTTTTGGCTAAATTTTTAGTTTAATCCGAGAATTTAAAATTTCATCAAGATCGGATGTTCCATGTTGAAAATAGTGTGGAGGGGAGTTTTAAGAGAGGAAAACCAAAATAAAATATACAGCCTTGACAATACTTTTACAGAACTTACCATGCGGCAATATCATTACCGTTTCCACAATGACACTAAACAAAGATCATAAATACAGCAAAAACGTTCCAACGTCTTCATCTACCTGATTTCGTTTTTTTCTCTATCGGCTAGTAGCTCATATGACATTTTAAGCCCTAAAATTAATCGTTTCAAAGGAAATAATAGTCATATCCAATTTTGACGACAGTTTATATCAGATCATTAACTTTTTGAGATGAGATGTCAATTACGTAGTAGTAGGTAATTCTTTATACGGTATAAACATCCATCGTTGTAAGGTATGTAAACTGACACGAATACAATTAATATAAATCATTCGATCTACGAGTTAACCAATTTTAATTGAATATATATACATATCTACCTTTTTTATCTCTCTCGCTCTCCATACACGCTTAAGGCAATCAATATACAGTTGTCGTACTTTGGTTGATAGGACAAGGGAGAGAAACATAGACACTAATCACCCGATTACAATCTGAAGATATTTTCCTTTTTTGAATTAGATCCGAATAATACCTCATAGCCTATTAGCAATGTGGGATGAAAATAATCAAAATGATAATATGGCAAATTCAGCTTGTTTTACAGTAAGTAAAAATACAAACATTCATTTTCTTTCTAACTATAACTTCTCTGATTTTAGATTGTTCACACTCAAACACATCCACTAAATGATAAAGAGAGATCAGCTGCCAGTCTATCGTCCAGAACATCACAAGCATTTTGGAAAGAACTCGAAGAGCAACGAGACCAATCTTTATCACCATATTCGAATTCAATGTCGTTTCGTCGTAAAATTTCGAATAAAATAAAAGATAAATGTAATCTGTTAGAAACAGCATTTATCAGTAGTACAAATAATAAAAACACTAGTTTGACAATGATGAACGAATTGTCGAAAACACCGCTGGCGGTATTAAATGTAAATAGTATTATTCAAGAATGTACATCGTCTGTTGATTCATTAGAAACGGATATTGTCGTTAAAGATAATCAACAACTTTTGTCAATACAAGGAGCAAAATTATGGAAAAATGATATTCAGCAATTGAGAGTAAAAAATTACAATAAAGGTAGACATATACAAACTTCTATAAATTTAAATTTCTAATGTTAGTATCTCTTTCAGAAAAATACAACAACAATAATTTATCGAGATGGCGATCGATCGAAGACGAACTAATGTTGCCTGTATTAATAGATCAATTAACATCACCTCAACAACAATATTTTAGACGTAGAACTCTCTCTGATACTGATATGGTTCCAAAAACTATTTCCACATTCTCCTTACCCAATATAGATACCAGCGATGAAGAAGAAGAAGAAGAAGAAGAAAAAAGTGATAGAATAGATGTATATCACACTGTACAATTAATTAAACATGATCCCATTGCAAATACTTATTCAACCTTATCAACCACCAATATACCCCACTTCGATGCCCAACTTCAAGTTAACGATGGTCAGTTGTCAGATGCTGTTCGTTATGGTGTATTTCATTCGTCACCTGAAGAATCCATAATCCAAATATCGTGTCAACAATTCAAATGTAATCACGAAACACAAACGATGGAAGTAGATGAGAACGAGGAAGGATGTCATTCATTTAATCTAAAACAATATGTACTAGTCGACACACTGGAAACATCAATGGATATTTCAGAATCTCTGGTTTCGACAACAAATGATGATGAGCAAGATTACGTTGTAAAAATGCAAATTAAAGGAACACTATTGGATACAAATCATCTAAAACTACAGAATATTATCGAGTTAAATGAACAATTCGAGCATGAAGAAGAACACGAAGAGGATGATACAATAAATGATGAAAACTTCGGCAATGGAAAGTAAGTTTGTAATAATCTGAACATTAAAAAAAGCATTTTTATATCCGATTTTAACTCCTGCCATTTATATTTTCAGCGAAAGTCAGAATGTGACATCATTAATGGACGATGGTGAACGTCAATATGTGAATGATGAACCTTCTTCATCCGAAAAAAGAACTTCAAATGATACCAGAGGTGAACAAGCAAAAAACGGAAACGAATATCAAAGTAATGAAGCTGGTCTAAGAAACTCATCGAGCGGTAGTGGTGGAGGAGGAAGTGGCTCTGGACGTGGAAATGACGAAGATGACGATAAAAATAATGACTACAATGATGATAACGATGAAAGTATGGACGATGAAACCATCGCTCGACGTTTGGGTTTTCTTCGTTTTGATAATTTAACACTAGAGTTGATCCATTCTATTCGGCAACTCATTCAAAAACAATCATATGATCGGCGTGATTTTGATTATTTACAAAATTTAATCGATAAAATAATTAAACTTCAACAACTTTACTCTGTAAATAATATTGATTCACTTGTACGTACAATGACAAAGCTACTAAAATTAGATCGCCTACTGCAAACATTTTCAACTGCAGAAAATTTTTTACGAGATCGAATCCAGTATGCAATTCAACAACAGAAAAAAAAAAAACTAAATATCGAAGAAGATCTTTACAGTCTAGAAGAGAAGCCTGTGAGAGCAGTCAAATATCAAATCACTAATGATGAACCCGTGAGACGGTCAGTGAACAATGGTAATGGCAATGTATTTGATTATTGGAAAAATAAAGATCGAAAATCAAAACTTCATGGAATACAGCAACGGGCAAGATCAGAAGGTAAAGCATAGACTTTTTAAAATCTTCTGATTGCTCGAAATTCTGCTAACGTATTCGTATTTATAATCAGCTATTTCTTGTACAAAATTAGCAGTCTTTTGAGATCAGGACTGATGAAAAAGTCATTCGGAGCTACAATTAATTGGGACATCCTGTCTTCATAAATCCAGTTTCATAAATCACACATTTATGAAACTTATTTCCAAGTTTCATAAAATTTAGAAAACTTGAACGTTGAATTTTATAAAACTTACAAGTTTCATGATTGTGCGATTTATGAAATTGGATAATCTAATTAATTTATTACTGATGTCAAAGTGTTCTTCCAATTCTTCATCTTCGTATGGGTTAAGTATAGCGTCCTCGCTATGTCTTTTACGTTTGATTTACCTAATAATTGTCTACTAAACACAATAAACCATCAAAACTGATATATTTTGTATAACTGGGCTCAATGCCTAACCGCGAAAAATTACCCAAGGATGATTCTTCACTGTGGTTAAACAGGACTACCTCAACCGTCTTTCGGTTACGCTTCGACAAATTGTATTGTTAGTTTGTTAACGTATTTCTTTTGTGAATCATTATTCGAAGGTTCGACCGATCAACAATACCGTTTTCGTCATGATTCAAAGGATAGTCTTGAAGAAATAGACGAAGCTCTCGTTCCTATTCCCACTTATGTCTCACCGAGAAAACGGCGTGATATACGAGAAACGGATCGTGAAGTAGTTGAAATTACGCATGATACGTCAATCGCCGATCCTTTACAATCTGTAGCTCGAGCGCCAACAAAAGTAAAGCAAATGGCTAAAGATATTGAATATCGGACAGTGCCAATAATAGTAGGAACAAATCGAAGTGAAATGAATGTGAGAAGTGGTGATCGTTTCAGAGATCATGCTAGTTACTTATCCGATGATTCAGTTCAAGTAATCATATTCACATTATCTTGAGTGTAAATAACTGAATATATCTGAATCTTATTTTTAGATGCCACGAGGCCAAATAAGTATTGCACTATACGATGTCAAACCTAATGGTAAGGATCGTTATTCCAACGAAGAACGCACTCATTTCGTCCACCCTGATGGTATAACTGAAGAAAGCGGGCACCGTACAGTTCGAACAAAGCAACATCAAACTTACGACAGTCCACAATCATCACCCTCTTTCAATGACAGTCGTGTTAAACGAATGGTTGATCGTCTTGAACACGATCAGCAATTATCGCCAAACATTGTGCCTACCACCACAACAAGTATAAAAAAATCTTCAATTAAAAAAACGTTCGACGAATACTCAGTTGATTCGTACGATAATGACTATCGTCACTCACCGGTGAAAACATCAAAAGATAACGAATACAAAAGAATCATCAAAAGTCAAAAAGATGACGAAAATCGAGATACAAATAAGAAAATGACTTATCAGGGACATACTGAGCGTAACCTTCCAAAAGATACTGTTATTGACGGCGTTTTCTTTCACGATAACAGACGTCCATTAAAATATTCAGTTGATCGTGAAGATGACGATCGTTCGGCGAGAACAACATCGTCACCAAGGCAACGAACAACATCCTCACCAAGGCAACGAACAACATCCTCACCAAGGCAACGAACAACATATCACTCGGGCAATGATGATACTTATGTTCGCATTGATTCAGTGAGAGACGAACAGGAACTATCCGATAATGTTGAAGAATTTGTTATTCCACATACGAAGCCAAAGAAGTACAATAGACTATTAGAAATTAAATCAGACGGAACTATAACAGAACCTGACATGTCCTTGCAAGGTAAGCGATAATTCTGGTGTCAAAGGCTAATGTATGCTTTAGAGCGGTTTGTTCGCATAGTCATCTGTACCACTAATACGAAACTGTGTACCTGAATGGTGTGGGTTTCTCCATGATAGTCTGATACTAAGAAAAGTTTCAAAAGGCGATATGTATATCAGGCCCGTAGCCAGGATTTTGCTAAGGGGTGTGTGTGTATGCACTATAGATGTACATCGATATACCAGTTTTCCTGCATTTTGTTTTTTGGTTGTGCCGGTTCTGATTCCAACATAGCCGTCTGTACGACAGCGACCGGTCCAGAAAACTAACAGGACGCAAAAGGTCGGATATACATTGTATATCCAACAGTAATCGTTTTGTAGACTTTACCTTAATGTTCACCTTCGCACATTACAGACGATCGTCACGGAACTGGAACGAGTATAACTATGGTGCGCGATGTTCGCGCTCGTATGTACGAGGATAACAGTGAACCGGCTACAACATCTCCAACAACTCCTCCGGAAGAAATAATGAAGGTTGATTTAGAAACGCTTTACATTCTTGAACAACGTAGCGAAAAATCATCGACTCCTACCGTTATGGATATTTATATATCTCCTAAATATCGTTGTGTTATCGAAGAAGAGAAAGAAGAACATGATGAACACTATCGAACATATCATCCTCCATTAACAGAAATTAATACAGTAGTACAAACAAGTTATTCACAACCTACAACGCAACAAACATTTCAACAACCAATTGAAATACAAAGTGATCTGAGTCAAGCGACGACAACAACAGCAACAACAACACAAACAACAAGCAGTTTACCTAGGCATCACAAAGAGAAAAAAGTAGTCGTTATTGATGCAGATACATACAGAACTGCCATGGTAAAGTCAAATACGTGTTTAAATTTCACTGTCGGATTTAGATAGTGAACAGTATTATCGTTTCTGTTTTTCTTCTCAGAGTAAACTCAAATGCTTTAATGCTATTGGTTTTTTTCTTCTACTTTAGTCCAAATCGTCTTTAGAATCAGACGAAGGTTCAGATACTGAAAGTGGAGCTGTTATTTACATTAATAATCAAGAAGAGAACTCTGAAAGTTTGAGACAAGAAAAAAATAATGCTAGTGGTAGTGATAGTGAGTTAGATCATAGTTACGGCAAAGATCATCCGACGATTGGTAAAATAACGTCCAAAATAAGAATGGATCAAATTCGTGATCTAAATCGAAATGTAGTACGACGATATTTCGAAGAATCAAATCAGCGATCTGAATTTTATGAAATCCACACAAGAGGACAATGCAAATGTATAGTATTAGTAGTCGATGATTTTAGCAAACAGGAAGTGAACAAAGGTGAACAGACATCAATGGAAGCACAAATAACTAAGTTGGAGATAACATATACTCCACAAGAATTACAAAAGATAAGTTTACACGTGCTTTATACAGGTAAGTGATCAACGTTTTAACGTGAATACCCAGTTCGAATTAGCCCTATCGGATCCTGTAGGATACTCTTAATTTCGATGATTTCCGGAGTTCAGACGGCCAATCGGATCCCGAGACCAGAATCCTCTCAATTCTTTCGCTTCCCGATATCTGAATCCTGGAGGATCTGGAAGTCGAATCCGATATCCGGAAGCAGCCGGATCCGTTAATTTCCGGTCATCGCAAATCGACAGATCCTGTGGTGCGCACGTCTTTATTTTTTTTCTTTATTTTCTGTGCGCATAATTTATTCACCGTTTTGTTTCACGACAGCAGTGCTTTAAATGTGACATTGCAGAAAATAAAAACCAGGAAAATTTTCTTCTCGAATCCTTAACAGTGTGAGTCATCGCTCAGACTGACCAATAGACGTGTTGTACACGCCACAGCTCGTGGGTCCCTACACTCTCTCGAATGTGCAGAGACAGGAGCTACTAAAAAATGAACAAAAAAGAATATGAAATAAAAAATCTAAGGCTATTTTTAACCTTCAAATACTTGAAAAGGGGTAACATTCTGCCAAATCCAGCGAAATTCGATGTCTGGAACGCGAAGGATTCGGTCGGATCATTACCGATATCTTCCGGTACGGAATCCAGGCGCCAGGATTCCGGCATAATACGGCATTGTGCCAGTAGAATTGTACCAAGTTTTGTCGGATTCTGACATGTTCCGACGTCTGATCTGGTCTGATCTTCCAGGAACTTGTCTTCGGAATCATCGGTCTGGGTATTTGTAAAGAATAGTAAGACAACCCATGTAAAAGCAGACCTGGGGAAGTCAGGACTGTTTCAAGTCTCAAGTCAAGTCAAACCAACGAAAAGATTCTCCTAGTCAGTCAGGCCAAGTCAGAAGACCCAAAAAAATTTTCCCAACGTTTTCTAAAAAACGTTATTCAAATCAGCAGATAAACGAGTATAAACAAGTTTCACTATGCATATACGAAACAACTTTTGGATCAGAATATTTCCGAAAAACCTTCCGGGAAGCTTCATCAAACAATTTTCATAAAATTCATAAAGATGATCATTGGCGAAACGCTGCGCAAATTTTTTTCAAGCATATCCTCGATTAACTATGGAGAATCTGAATCTGCAGTTGGTTTTGATCGAACAAGAATTTCTATTTAAACCGTCAATTTATTTTTTATTTTTCAGCAGATAGTGAGTCATTATCTGATTATATTTTAATAAAACGAGATTATTTCGATTCTTATTACGATGAATATCAAATTCATCCAACTATTCATATTAATTATTACACACGAGAGGGTCATTTATTTAAAACTGAAGAGCGACGTCTCGATCAAATCCCATTAACTATTCGATGTGAAATTGAGTATGAATTGAATCATTATGGAACATCTCGACTCATTTTGTTACCAGTAACAAAAGCCGAAAGACGCCATGTGAATCTGACCATAAAAGAAGAAGTTACTAAAGATTTGATTCAACGTCATCAGCGTGGAACGAATTTTGAACAACAAATTCAACGACAATTACAAGCGCCCGTTACTCTTCAACGTTTAGATGATTATTTGACGAGAGAAACGTTGTCCTCAACAACTGTACGTCGTCTACCGAGAATTGAACTAACCACATCACTAAGAGTAATACAACGTTATCGAAATATTATTCATCGATTGTGCAATATATTTCGAAAAGATATTCGGTTGACAAAAGAACAAGAACAAAAACGAAATTTTATATTAGTTAATAATCAAGAATATTACCAATTAGGTAAGTTAAACGACAGCTCACAGAATTGAATGAAAACTGTATTTTTTCAATTTAGATTTGACGAATTTAACGGTTCCAAGTGCTGAACTGAACATATCTGAAATTCAAAAACGTCAAACAGATTTATTTAATCGCGAAGTAAAATTAGTATTGAATGAAGAACAACAACGAAAACCTCGTCAAGAATGGGAATATCATACACGTGAACAATCAAAATCGATTGGTCGTACCCCTCGTCATCCTCCACATACTGAAAACTCGTTCAATTTTATTCAATATCGTAAAGAATTAAAAGAACAACAGGAAATATTAGATCAACAACATCGAGAAGCAGAAAGATTGAAACATTTAAATCGTCGTGTCGTGCCGGGACCACCACCGCCTGGACATCCACATGAAGCCGAATTTTATTTAGGTAAATGAGGAACTGTTTTAACGCATTAAATAGTGAGATTTAAATTCTTTTTCTAATTTCAGGTGCTGAACGTCGTCAGTTGATTGAGCGAGAAATATATAATATGCGCGAATCAATTCGTCCTCATGAACATGCTCCACCTCGCTATAAACGTGAACCTTTACGTCGTTCGTGTTCGTGGGGTTATTCTGGTGCAAATCGCTATGTTCGTGCACGTATCATACACGTTAAAGACATTTTCGATGATCCAACTACACCTATCTCACCTGACCAACAGCAACGTGCCGAACAACAAGCAAGAGAACAAGAATTATTTATTCGTGTTGATGATTATATCAATGAGCCAGCTGCATCGAGTCTAAAACGATCATATTCGACCGACTACTTACTAGAAGATGGGCCACGATCAAGAATTAAATATATTCGAATACCAGGTGAAACAATTCGAATCGAGGAAAAACAGACATATGAATACGAAGGAATACAGTACGCTGATTTGCCTTATGCTTTGAGATATTGGAATATTTTATATATACTTGACAAAGAAGCAAGAAAAGGTCGACCACTCGGTTCGAGTATTCCACATGTACCAGTCAATGATCCCTATCGTAATATCATTCCTCCTTTAACTCATCAAGAAATTCATCAAACGGCACGTCAAGTTTTACATCCACAATACAGTGTTCGAGATCATACCGATCGTACTTTACGTTGGTTTCTTTCAAAAGATCAACGAACAGAAATTGAATCGAGAGCATATTTAGCGGCTCTCGAACATCGTCGAAAACAATCAGCTACTGATGTTAGTGGACGAAGTCTCAAACCAGAAGAACGTCCAGAAAAATACTTTGTGACTGAAACTCTTGTAAGATATGAAAAATTACCTGATCGACTACAACCGATCGCTGAAACACTCACAAATGACACTGTAAATGACACAAGATCTGTCTCATACCCAAGAGTTTTTCAACCATCAACATATTCATCACAATCAGAAAACAGCAATTTTATTCAACAGCAGCACTTGAATAAACGATCGCAGTCTCAACCGACGACGACTTTTATGCAACAATCATCATACCAAAATCCACATGTACCATTAAGGCCAATCGAGATACCGTCATCACATTTTTTCACTCATCCATTGGCTCGTTATCAATCATTTCGTGAACTTTATCAGACATCTCCACCATCTTTTCAACAGCAAACAATTATCCATAATAATCGTCCAAGACGTCAATCTCCCCCACAAAATACACATACTATTCCGATCGCCTATAATAATCGCTTTCAGCGTGCACACAATAATTTGTTAAATCCCATCCAACCTCATCAACAAAGTTATCATCATGCACCTTATCCACCAATAAACAGTGCCTGTAGACCACATTGTCATCCATCTTCTGAACGTATTAAATTATTAACAGAAATAATCGATAGTCAAACGGGTCGAACACTAAGGGCAACATGTCAGCAAGAACTACCAATCGATGTATTAGGATTATTAGACAAATATAATCTACGTACGTAAAATTATTATCCCTTATCATATTACTCACTTATTTATTATCTGGAATATTATTTAGTCTTTTACACATTTCGTTCATTTCATCTTAATATGTATACGTTAGTCAATTATTTTAAAATTCTAACTCTTTTGATGTTGCCATTTTCTTGTTTTTACTTTTCAAAGAACAACGCTGTTTTGAACAGAATGATAAATCCGAAAAACAACGAAATCTTTTTGGGTACAAAAGTTTTGAATTAATTTTCAGATATGTTTGAGTTCAATCAAACCAAATGAATTGTTAGTTTATTAGATTATGTAAGAGTTACATATAGTACTGGATATGCATGTCAAAATGTGAAAACATAATTTATATCACAAAATAACAATTTTAATCTAAATTCTGTGCAATTTGGTATTAATTCTCTATTTTATATTGTTTTGTCTCCTATCCTGTCACATGTGCCAATGTCAGATGCTTTAAACTTTATTTTCTTCTTATCTAATGAGTGATGTCGGTATAAAAGGATCACAAAGGAATATGAATCTTCTATTGACTTTAGAAGAATAAGATAACACTCTTACTTTAATTTAAACATATCATTTATTTTAACGAAAATTAAAAAAAAAATATGGCCCAGAACGATAGTTGTCCGGAGGTTAAATGGTGTTTTTGCTCTGAACTATGTATTCTATATCCATCTCTATTACCTACAACAATCCTTGCTCTTATTATTGGTCTTTACACTTCAAAACAAATTTCAAAATTAATATTTCCAACAGTATGGTATTATAAATTGACATTTTTTATGTATGGTATAATGATGACATCAGCTGGAATCTTACATTGTATAGTCGGTGACAGTCAGAATTCTGAACCTCATTGGTTATCCACATTGCGATTAATTTTATCAGTTATGGATGTTGGATTAACATCAAACATCGCCATATCATTTATGTTTTGTGGTTTATGTGATTTAAATGTATTAAATCCAAAATTAACATTTACAAAAATTTTAGTTCTATTCACATTTTTACTTATATTTATTGCCTGGACAGTGGCTATAATTGATCAATGGCAATATGCAGTTAAAATTTTATACGATTATACAGTTGCAATATGCTGTTTCATTTATTTAATTACACAGTTATTATTGAAACACAAACCAGGTGTGCTTTCACCCTTATTTATTAGCGGTTTGTGCGGTTTCATTGGTTTAACAGCAAGCGTTGTATTTGCTAACGATATATGTACATGGGAAGGTCCATTTTGGGCACAGTATTTTAGTGGCGAATTTATTTGGTTCATATTATCAGATTTAAGTGTATATTTCCTTTACCGTTATGTCGTTCAATCCCAAAAGCAAGAGAGTGATGAAAAAAATTATATGAAAAAGCATGTATCAGATGATTTTAAATTTTAAATATTCAAAAACACATTTATTTAACGCTTTTAAAATATAGTTTTCTGAGAATATTATCATATATGTGATTAGGATTCTACAGTCTATAATATTTTCTTGAAAATACAAAAGACTCAATGAAATACGAATACATCAAAATGAAAAGTTAAACGCAAAATAAGATTGGATTTTTCAATAGAAAACAAGATTCTCGTATTATATAAATAATAACTATTCTTCAAAGATATATCTTCCTTGCTTATAACAAAGTTAATGTACACGAAATTTCTTTTCGTTTTAATATTGATGGTTACTAATATGTTCACTATCAGCTTTAATAGAAAGACACTGTATAGAGAATAAAAAAATACGCTATCCTGAACTGAATTGAATTTTTATTTTTTGCAAGCATGATTGTTACAAAGGAAGGCTAGCTTATGCTAATGCAACACTGAAAATAGTGAAGAAATAAAAAAATACTAAAAAGAGCAAGTTACATTTGAAATATAAACTTATATGACAGACAGATATATGACACAGAAGAGAAATGGTACATTTTAACACATTTTGTTGATAAGGCACAAGAAAAGACAGATCAGTTATAAAAAGTTGAAAATGTTGTTTCAAAAGACTCGTATAGATCCTATGACTGGTTTGATTCACAACGGTGCATAGTGTCACATTCCAGTCGTCACTGGTACGAAGGAAAAGTAACCCCGAAGTGGACTTTAAGGAACGGTAAGGTTTTTGAATTTGTTTATCATGCGTTATTCTAGACGACCGTCGATTTGTTGGCGGACTAATTCGGTTTCTAGCAGACAAAGCACTTCTTCCGTTGTATAGTTTATGAAAATAAGCAAGACGAAAATATTTAGTTCTAGCAGTAGAGAGCAGGTGCTAAATTTAGCCGAGTGACACGTTGGGAGGAACGGCTGTCATAAACTCTAAGGATTTTATTCTACAGGCTAATTTTTTGTACGTTATCTAACATAGAGAGATGAGAAATATAAGACGTATCATATAGAATGCAGCAGTACTCCAAAGTTAAACGTATGCAAGTTTTATAACAGCTATACGATCTATACTCCGAATCATTTTGATTTTTACGTTTAAAACAATATTGATAACCATGGTGACATAATTATCTTTTGCCATGTGTAGATATTCAACAAATTTCATAGACATTTTTAAAAACATGGTGAGAATACGGTTGTGTATGTCTACCTTTATATACATTTTAACAACGAACATCATGCTGACGACAGTTGTAGTTTGCAGGCAAATAATGTCGGTAAACATGATGATTAGTGCTCTAACTTTCTCCATATTTTCCATTATTTAACAACTAGATTTAAAGAGCAGTGGTTCGTTTCCATTTAGTTAGTTAGTCATTCCCGCGTATCTCTTGCCTTTTCTCTTATTGATGAATGTTCGTTGCGTTTGGAAAATTTATTAGCTGTAATGAGTATTTATTTGGTTATGGATTGCTATTTTCATTTCAAATAATCAGTAATAAGTAAATCCTAAACAGTGAAAATTATACTTATGTCGACAGACATTATGAGTTTTTACAGGGAATTTTGTTTTCTATTTTTTTGTATGGTCATTTTTTTCTGTGAAATGTGAACGCAATGATCCAATGAAGTAGAAAAGTTTTGAAAACGTCAGAGTATTTTCTAGACACTGAAGATTGATCATTGACTGCTCGCTTATTTCAAACATATTTGGATTCAGTACCATAAGGTCCAGACGTGGGAAAAGAAAATTGTCAAAAAGTTGTTTTTGAAAAAATGTTTTATATATTTTTTTATCCGGCACACCTTAATGAGAAGGAAAAAAACGCTTTTCTGTGTTTAACCAATTTTTTTTTTGTGGTTATTCCTAACCTCTAAGTGCACTGAAGTGGAAACTAGTTATGAAGTAATAACTAGAATGCAATGTCTGTTGACATCGGAACTTGTGCGCAGCACAACTGCATTCTAGTTTTCTTTCATTGCTTGTGAAAAAAACTAATTAAAATAAAAAACAATTAATGGAAAGTAAACCGTATACTCGATGTACATCTGTAATAAAAGTGAGACTAATTAGGTCCCTACTATCAAAAAATAATTTTGAGAAGTAAACAACTGATTTGATTGAAATTCGGTGTGGATCATGTCCACAAATTGTCAGAAAGTTATGATAATGTTTGCATCATACATTTGCGTTCAGTAGATGTTCTTTGAACGAGGATCAAAATTAGGCATTCAAGCATTGAAAAAATTGTTTTTCTAAGCCAGGAGCTAGAGTTGCTTTCAAATTCTTAGTATCTGATATCGAATTCATACAATGGAGCTAAATTATGCAATTTTTTCTTCATTTTGCTCATTTATCAGAAAAATAAAATAATATTCAAAAACATTTCTAGAAAACCTAAAATTAGAAAAAATGAAAGCCATAGTAAAGAATCGGACTCTATTACGTTATTGCCACGACTATTTGGCTTTAATTGAAGATCAATTCAGCCTTTCTAGCCTAGAAAAAATGTTGTGCGTTGATCTGTTAAATGAAATGTCATTTCGTCACTTAACCTTTAGAAAAAAACATTTCGTCCTATAAATATGACCTAAATTACTTGTGTTTAATAACGCATGATGACAACAAAAAGAAGAGAAATAACAATACTACCAAACCTTCACAAAACAAAAGGAACAATAGATACAGCAAACCATCACAAAAGTCGAGACCTAATAAAAAATACAGAAAAACGTTAGATTAAAAAGTGAACTTTTTCAGGTCGGCAAACAGTTTCCGTACAGTTGATAAAAATCTTTTTTTACATTGTATAAGGTGCGACAAAATATGAAAACCACATCAATCAATAGAAGAGAGCGCGTACAGGAATGGATTCTGTGATACATCTTTTTTTCATTTCTTTTGTAATCACTTGTCTGTCCGTCACTACACACTTATGGATACATTTCAACTGAAGCGCATCTCTGAACGTTGATGCTGAACCTCCACATCCACGTCTAAACAGTTACGTAAAATGAAAAAAAATGTTAACTAATTCATGATTAACAACTTACCTTACACATTGCCATAGTTCAGAACCGTTTTTATTTGTTCTCTGTAATGAATATTCATATCTGTCAGCAATAAGATGCTTTTTACCGCTACTGTGATTTTGTATTGAGAATTGCATCGTTTCAGGAATTTGAAGTGTCTCCTATCGTCCCTCATCGTCCCTTTATATTGTTTCATAATCAACCTGTTGTTAATATGCTTTGAACTAGATTAAATTATGAATCGTTTGATCAAAAAAACAGATTTCATTTTGTGACTAAAAACATTCGTTTTAAGTACTCTAATAATTATGATTAATTAATCAGAGAACGTTTAGATTTATAATATATATTCTTTCTTTCTATTAGATAATATGCCTGCAAAATGGGAAAATTTTTGTTAGTTTTTTTGCTTGCAAAATGGGAACTGGACAACGTTTGAAAAAAAGTTCCTGCTTGCAATTTGGGATATCATAAAACAATCAAAAATAAAATTGCTTGCAAAATGGGCATGAGCCGGTTTAAGACATTCTATAATGTAAATATTTAAATACTTACGATGTTTTGTAGTTCTTGTGAATAAATTCTAATTTTTATTTTAAAACCTTATATAATATGATTTACGGCGTTTTATAGTGCCGTTATCGTACGTTCTACAGTGCCATAAATAAAATTTAGAACGTTCTGTAGTAGGAGATTGGGTGGGCTTAAAATTAGCAAAATCGCTAAAGATTTGAGTATATAACTGACACTCCTGTTGTAATTGACAGGTGGAGACGTTACACAAAATGTCATTTGATTACACGATATATAGAGACAGATAGCATACATAAATTGTATAGGTATCTGATTTCATTGAAGACAAACTAATTTATATCATTCAGCCGTAATTCGGAACTTAATCGTTATTACTAAATGCTTCTATATATTTGTCAGATTTGATGTATATTACAAATAGTTAAAAAAATAAAAATTTAAATATGAAAAGAGATTTAATATACTTATTTTCTATTCAACTGTTTCTAATTCAAAATCATTTTTAAAAATTTTATTTTGATTGTTTTTTACATATTGAGATAAACGGGATGGATAATCAGTCATTACACCAGTTGCTCCTTCGTTAAATGCATGTTCGAATTCATTTTCATTATTTAATATCCACACATATACCTAGATAAATAGGATAAAAATGTTCTAAACAACGATCTAGTGTACTCAGAAAGAGCAAAAAAATGATACATACTGGTATTCCTCTTCGTTTCAAATACTGAAATAACGATTTATTGTGCAGAGCTCTAAATTATAGATCAAGAATCAATTAATCAATCATAGTTAAAAATATGAACATCTATATACTTCTCAACTAAATATAAGATGGTTTTAAATTTTCTGTCCAAAGCTCGTGTTGTTTCTCTAAAGTTGAAATAAAAAAATGACATTTTATCAAATGTATAAAAATATCATCTTACTTACTGAAATACTTCTCCAGGAAATGGAATTTCGAATGCACCTTTAGAAGGAGCGATACAAACACACTTTAACAGCATAGTTTCAAATAAATAAAGAATTGATTTAAACATACCTGGTTTCAATGACAGAAATGGTAGTAAACCAGTCCAAAATGCGAACACTAAATAAGCGGCTTCTTTCAATGAAAAAAATCGAACAATACGAGGATTCTAAAACATAAATCCATTTCGAATCGAGTAATCAACGGTATAATGAGTTTATTTGTGGTGAGCTTACTTCTTTATCTAATTTTTTACAAATTAAATGACTAAAACTTCCCCAATACGTCAAATGTTCGCGTTTGTATTCTTTAATTAATTCGGATATATTATGAATAAGTCTATTATCATCGACTTTGACATCCAGATTGATAGGCGTTGTTGGATAATGTTCAAATACCTCTTTTAATAATGGAATTTTGATTGAAGAAGGTTTATCACAGGTAATAAGTACATCTAAACACAAATTTGATGAAGATAAATACCAAATATCTACTCATATACACGCACACAAATATACCTGGTTTATAATATAATTGCATATCTCTATTTAAATGAGGAAGTTCCTGAAAAGACAAAGACATTTTAAGTACAAGGAATTATTATAAACTTCATTACGCTCTAAAAAAATTTCGTAGCTTACAAAACGAATATCAGTTTTGGTATTTGCTCCTAATAGAAACCGATATTCGTATCGTACAATCCTGCGTAACCCTTTCGTGCCAGAGCCCATATATATACGGGCTGAGCTTTTAGTCATACCACCGTTGTTATAGTTTGTTTCAGACTCGATCTAAAAGACAGCTCTCTCTTGTCCTTATCTCACTAACATCATTCCGTCATCGTCCAACACTGCTATATGTACAGTGGCGGCAAAAAACCCTATTCTCTTTTTCTTTTGGTCATAACTCGGTAACGAAAAAAGCTTTTGACAAGCAGTTTGCACCAAAATATTCTCCACTCTCTTTAGTATATTTGTAGATAAAAGAAGTTAGAAATATTCATTGTTGCTCTTTGTAGGTTCACTAGACTGAAAAGTAAACTTTTTCAGGTCAGCAAACATTCTCCGTACAGTTGATAAAACCCTTTTTTTACGCTGTATAAGCATCGACAAAATATGAAAACTACATCAATCGATAGAGGAGAGCGCCAGCTACATTTTGGTAAAAAAGATAATTTTGAAAAGCTTTTCCTCAGGGTGAAAACGCGACTTTAAGTCAAAAGTGCCATACACTTCCGTGTGACCTCGGAATCTCGAGAATGAGGGGGTGAACAAAAAATTCTGATTCAGCCATTCAAAAGAGTATCAAAAACTGAGTAAGCTAAATATAGTCTGGGAATTAAATAAAAGAATTTGACTCATCTTTCGATCGAAAAACTGATATCATTCACGATAATTCTTTCTGAATCGTACCATCATTACTCGAAAGCGTGATGAAAACGTGGAGATCTACTGATTCGAAAGAAAACGCAATTCGGAACAAGAATATTATATTTAAAAAATTTCTAACATCGGCGCGGATGCTAAAATGGGTTTCTGGAAAACCAGAACCTTCAAAACCAGTTCTCTGGATTTGATCAAATAATTCTTGCAAACAACTGCATCCGATAGAGCAAACATTTCTGAACAAAATGAGAGGTCTCCGAGTTCTCCACGACCATTCTTCATCGAACTGCACTCAATTTACTAAAGGTCTCAAATCCCGTAGAATCATTGAAATTTTCAAAAACAATAGTTGTGTTTGAGGCCTTTAGTAAACTGAGTGCAGTTCGATGAAGAATGGTCGTGGGGAACTCGGAGACCTCTCATTTTGTTCAGAAATGTTTGCTCTATCGGATGAAGTTGTCATGGCTAAGTAGAAGTTGTCACTTAACATGGCTAAAAGCTCAGTCCGTGAACATTTTTTGCCTTATAAAGAAACGGATTTCGGTTTTGTACCAGAGAAAAAATGTTCAAGCGTATTCTCCTCAAACGGTTAAACAGGACTGTACAATACTAATATTGGTTTCTATTAGGAGCAAATGCCCAAACCGATATTCGTTTTGTAAGCTACGGATGTTTTTTAAAGAGTACTATTGTAAATACATCATATTTGAAATCGGCTATTTTTCCTAATTGTCCTGTACAACGTAATAATGTGAGATCATGATAAACAACTGGATGACCGTCAGCAGTTAAGTGGCAATCTAATTCTAGCATTTCTGAGCCACACGCTAGAGCACTGCAATACATACATACATAATTAGAAGTAAATTATTAGCTTAGTGTTACCTTCTTACTTGTCAAATGCTATCAGAGAGCTTTCTATTGCTTCAGCAGCTCCTATAGACACATTGATAAATTGATTATATTTATAGTTACTAGTACATAATATAGTCGACTGAAAATTTACCTCCTCTATGTGCAATATTTCTACATAGAAAACATGGTCGCTTTTTTCTGTGTAACAAATGTGGCTTACGAAATAAAACATAAGATGAAACAGCATAAACAGTAACCAGAGCCGAACATACGATAAAGAAGACCATCTAAAAAGATAAAGCCATAAAATATAGAAATAAAAAATGTTATTTATCCAAGTGTAGTGGAGGAGATCTGTTGTTGAAGTATTAGGATCTACGCACAAAAAATCTGTTAGACAAATCAAAACGTACAACCCCCCCACCCCCCAAATAACTGATGCTGTAATTATCCTCGCTATATTGCAACCGTCACACTAAAATAAGCTTACAAAAAAATCTCTACAAAGTTTACACAACTCTTTTCCGCAAAAGTGAGCGGATATAACGAATAGAAAAGAGCAATGTGGTTTATTCGTTGACAGAGAACAGTATGTTTGTTTCTATTAAAAGAAGTAAAGTAGTTAGTTAGTGGTTAAAAGCATATATTACATACATTGTATTTTGGTCATGGAGCGAACTGACAAGATAATAATAAAAAGTTACATACAAACGTTGTCTGAAATTACCCCTTACATAGAGAAGATAAAGAAAATCAACTGAAATGTGTTCTTAGTGCGTGTTTGAAGGCTGAGATAGAGGAAGAAGCTATAACTGTTCGCGACAACTGATTCATTACCTGACTGTTCTTGGAAGAAAGGATGAATTTGTGGCTTTGAGTTTAAAACATGGAATTCTCATTAATACTGATTTGATGTTCTAGAAGACACTCGATTAGTACAGGACGTGACTAAATTAAAAGTTGAAAGTGCACTACGCCCCAGCATGATCATACAAGCACAAAAAAATGTTCACTTTCTTCTGAAATTCTGAATAGTATTCTAGTATGGTATTAGGTGGGAACATGCACTTTTTCTTTTATTATCTATGTAGAATCTCACAGAATGACAATTTTGAATTAAAACAAAAGGGAATTTTATTTTCTGTTTTCCTTTTTTAGTATGAGCTACGATTACATAGATGTTCGATATTATTCAGGTTAACGGATCATAAACGTCACGTTAACGGACCGTTTTTAGGTTGTCAAGGCCGTTTTTACGTCGTTTAAACAGGATCGTTTTGCGATCAAAAACCGATTCGTTACGATCTTTTTTTACAGACTATTTGCCATCGTTAATGCAACGTTTTATAAATGTTGCATTTAAAAGTTTCATTTTCACTAGCTATCTTGAAAATATTGTTTGTGGCACATTTTGATCCCTAATGCCATTTCTAGTACCAAGTTTCCTTGCCTTGCATATGTAGTGAAAGGAGAAATTCTAAGTTATTCGAAGAAAGTCAGTGATGCATATATACTAGTAGTGATAGCAAAATAAAAGAGGTGAATGACATGTAGACAAAACGGTCCATATACGGTATATAGCATAGGCTATACCTCGTCATACTAGTGAATGACCTGTTTTTAGACCATTAATTGAGGTTAATGGACCGTTTCTAGGCTGTTTTTACGCCAATAACACGCCTTTTTATAGTTGACCATTAACTGGTCATTAATCTCGGGTGACCTGGGTATTTTCGATAGCGTTAACCGATAGCACTTTTATACTTGCTCAAGTTTTTTCAATTTTTCGATACTGTCGCAAGTACCTGTCCACGCGAATACTGATAGATGGCTTTGCAAATGCAATGTTGTTGATGCATTTAAAATAATCCCGATAAATCCATCTCTGTGGGAGATATTACGGAATTAAATGGCAATGTCACTACTATTTCTTCTCAAAATTGCCGTTCGGTTCTAGATCATCATCCAAATTGTTTGATTTGCTGTCGGTTGCTGTCTGCTGGATTGCTACGGAGAATTATGGTATTGAAAGTTTTCTCCATCTGCTCGATGATTTTTTCATAATAGATCCACTGGATGCATCAGCTGATAGAACAATGGCATTGTTGACCTTAATATTCAGTCATCTTGATATCCCTCTGTCAGCTAAAAAGACAATTGGATCAACTCATGCTCTCGAATATCTCGGTATTGTTGGATATGTTGGATACAATCCTGATGATTGCCAGCTTGCCACCATTAAAAATTGAAAGAATACAAACCACAGTTAAGTCAATATTGAATACTGAAGTCACAAATGCACCAGAAGAGCTCTGCTCAATTTGCTCGATCACATGAGTTTTGTCACCAGAGTGCTCGTAGCAGGACGTTCATTTACATCATTCTTGTTGACACTTTCTACCACGGTCGGTAATCTGGATCATCACGTGTACATCAACAAAGACGCGCAACTAGATCTCATTATGTGGCATATGTTTCTTGATTCGTGGAATGGCGTTGACTTGATGCTTAAACTAAACTATACATCAAATATCGATTTGTTTTTCATACTGATGCATGTATATCAATAGGTTTTGGTGGTATCTTTGAGTCAGAATAGTTTGCCGCAATTTGGCCTCAAGAAGTTCTTCAATTGTCAAATAGATTCTCAACTGCTTTTCTTGAATTATATCTGATAGTGGTATCTGCAAGTGTTTGGGACCAACTGTGGGTACGTAAACGAATTCGGTTGTATTGCGATAACTAGCGATAACCAGCACATTATTAATAGAGGTCGAGGTTGTTGTCCTCTCATTATGAAACTGATGAGAAAATTGACCTTGATTTCAGCAATACATTCTTTTCATATAAGAGCCACTTCTCTTCCTACAAAGGATAATCTAATTGCGGATTGCTTTTCATATTCTAAGATAGGCGAATTTTTTCATCGTTTGGTCCCAACAGCCGCTGCCTATCCAAGATCGATTCCACCACCGCAAGATTTAATGTTTCCATGGAGCTAATAGACAACATCGTGAATGAATTATTAACGCACTTAGTAGCGCGATCGACTAAGGCCTCGTACACATCAGGTAATAAACTCTGTTCCAATTTCGTAACAATGTCCGAAGTTAATGATAACTCAATAACATCCGATCCGCTAATATGCTTTATTGCTTATTGCCACGGAATCAGAAAAATACAATATTCCACTATTAACTGGAATTTAGCGTCCATCAAACATTTTCGTATGATCGCAGGATCGAATAATCGATTCGTAGATGAACGCGGATTAGCAATTGAACGGGTTCAGTCGGTACGCAAGGCCACCAAATGAATGCAGTTCAAACATCCAGATAAACGACCGCTTATCACTCTCGAAATTCTCCAACAAACTCTGCACGCGATTACGATCAGGGGTGTTTTCACCTTAGTGGACACATTGTTAGTAGCAGCATTCACCACCACTTTCTTCAGTTTCTTTCGTGCCGGAGAATTATTTCCGGTCAAATTCGAAGCTAATCTTAATGTGACAATGGCTGATGTTCAATGTTCAAATGGTCTAACAGTTGTTATTCATCTGAAAACTTCTAAAACTGACCCATTCAGGTGTGGAATATAAATTCGTTTGTTCACTACAAACCCTAGGGTTTTCTCCTCATTTAATCTAAGCGTTAGCTTCCTGCTTTCCTCTGTTATATTTACGATATGTTCGTATACAAAATCCTATCCTACGCGAAACACACTTACAACTAGCTCAAACTTAAAAATATTCTATTCAATCCTTATTCTATATTTTCCGGACACATTCACATTATATTTCATATTATGTAACTGGGCACTCTTCTATGTACCCGATTGTTTAGTGTAATATAAGAGTATTTTCTCTAATAAATGCCCACAATGCTAATCTTAGTCTGCATACTACAGAAAGTGATAAGTATGAATGCAGATTTTTAGTATTTTTAAAAGTGTATGCACTAACGGTGAGAAAAATCCGAAATTTAGAACAAATGTTGTTAGCGAATCGTTATGTGTGAACTGAGTATGATGTCCTCTATAGTGTAGAGTAGTGAATATATCGGTAATTGTAGCTTCTCTGAAAAAATGAAAACAGGAAGTAAAATTCGATTTTGACTTTGTTTGAATTCTATACATTATAGAAATCGTGTATCCGTTTCACAATACGCCTTTATCCTTCGCTTCTTACTTTTAGCTAATACTGTCCCTGTAAGGAAAACTTGCACGCATTTGATAATATCTGATTTTGCGTTATGGTGCCATATTTGTTTGATTGATGATTTTAAACTATCAGTTTTTAGCCATTACTTCATAAAAGTCTTTGACGCTCAAATCGATCTTAAAGAAAAAGAAAAAGACTTTTTTCTTGAGGGATTGATGAATGAAGTTCGCTTTTGGATAAATCTGTATTTTTTAGTCTACAAAGCTACCGTCTTTTAATCAGAAGATTTATTATTTTCCGTAGTACACAGAGTTTCAGAATGCTTTACGAAAACTAAAAACTACTGACGGAGTTTCTTCGTTAAATAGACAATGTTTTCTTTTCTATCAGTCTACCTATTCAATTTTGCTCAACTCTTATGACCACTTTTCCGCACTGTAAGGCCAATTTATGAAAAAAGTACGAGTAAGTACGTATGGTAAACTTATAATGGCAAACCAACGAGTTATTTGTAAATAGAATTGCTCTCCCAATTGCACCTACCTCTCCATTTTCTATACCCTGCACTATTAATATTCATAACTTGTTTTTGTTTCAAAAAAATACTTTATTACAAAAAAAATGGAAAGCACGTCACATAATATCTATTCTCTAGAAATAACAAAAACAACTCTTATGTATCAATTTTTCATTTTGTTTCTTCAATCTAACTTGGCCATAGACAAACACATAAGCGTAGAAAAATTCGAAGAAAGAAATCAGTTTGTTTAAAAAAATTTTAACGAAACAAACAGAAGTGTTCATCCAGAACGAGAGAGAGATACGTATATCTGAGCGGGAAGACAAACACCGTAATAGTAGTATCATACGAAAAGAGTTAAAGTTCATGATGTTAAATTTGTAAATAAATAAGAAAACCAAGAAAATTATGTACAAAAAAAGCATAAAACACAAATATGTAAAACCATATTAAACGTAGTATTGTCAAGCACATTTAAATACAAAGATAAATTCATCGCGATTGATAGGTGAAGATCTAAGACAAAAAACTGAAGTCATTAAATAAAATCTTTTATAAATGCTTTTTTGTTAAACGCATCAAAAAGCAGAACTTCAGATTGGATACTAACGAGGAAAGGTTTCCAAGTGTCACGATGATTTTCAAATGCGACATATACTATTTTGTAGAGCTCGATGCGCTGATTACGATGGCATAAAGCATTTTTCCACATAAGTCTTATCTGAAGAGCCAGATCGATTTTACATTTTGAACGATCACTCTGACACACTTATTGGAAGACTTGGATTTTAAGAATATTATAGTTTCAAGCAGTCGGATTTTTGCCATTGGATGTGTTGCACTCAACTGTACATTCTCGCATGTTAAACTAAAATAGAGCGTCTTTACTTTGCATATTTCAGTATCACTAATATTGTGAATAGAAACACTTCCAGTGAAATATTTTAATACTCTATACTCGCAATATCAGTGATACTGGAATATGCAAAGTAAAGACGCTCTATTTTAGTTTAACATGCGAGAATATACAGTTGACTGCGACGCATCCGATGACAAAAATCCGACCGCTTGAAGCTATAGTACCCTTGAAACTCAAGTCTTCTGATAAGTATGACAGAGTGATCCTTCAAAATGTAAAATTGACCTAGCTCTTCAAATAAGGCTTATGTGGAAAAATGCTTTATGCCATCGTAATCAGCGCATCGAGCTCTACAAACTATTATATGTCACATTTGAAAATCAGTGTGACACTTGGAAACTTTTCCTCGTAAGTGTACTGATTTCTAGCCAAGTGTCTTCTTACCTGTGAAAAAATAAAAACTCTTTTCATTTATTTATTTGTTGTATGCTCTAAATAGTAGATTTGACTTTTTCAAATAACGATCACGTTCCATAATCAATAATAAATCACGCAAATTTGCACGACAAACACGCTTACGGGTTGACTGTAAAATATAGAAAAAAAACAAAGAGCACTAGAAATTAGTCGAAAAAAAGTGTCATACAGCTTTCGTAGATGTAATTCCTTGTCCACTTTGATTTGTAGCACCATTCGTTCCATTTACAGTTCCATTCAAATCATCTAATTTTCGTTTTTTACGCTGGCCAATAGCTGCCAGAGCTGTTTCATTCGCTTCTTTTTGTCGTTGTTCTTCAACTTGAGCTTGTTGCATCTAAATAACAGTTGTATTGTCACTCAATAATGAAAACAGAGACGCCATCTGTTAATCAAAGCTTTTCATAAATGACTCAACAAATAGCAGTGACAGATTCAGGATTATGTTAGGAACATGCCGTAGGTAAGAAAAGTATGAGGTTCATGCGGGCGCCGTAGAAATGCAACTTTTTGAGACAATTCTGCTGGGCAAAGGTCATTCTTTTGTTCTAGACGTATGAGCGGTCACTTGTAGTGCTTGCTGACTGAATCAGCCAGTAACAAACAGGCCTTTTTGTAGTGAAAATTTCTTTAAACGGTTGGTAATTAAATAGCCTGACTTTACCTCTTTGGCTTTTTGTTTTAATTTGACTGCTTCTGGATCATTTGTTTTAGATCTGCTCTAGAAAGACGACAGACAGGTGAATAAAAGAGTGATAGCATATAGTTTAAAAATGCTTTACTTACTTTGGCTGCTCTAAGAATTTTTTCTTGTTCAGCCTTTTCTTTTCGCTGTTTTTCAATTTTATCGAGTTCTTCTAGAAAACGAATTTGTGCTTTTACATCGCCGATTTGCTCGTACGATGAATCATTCTAAAGTAAACAAATAAGCAAATTCGATGATTTCTAGGTGTAGCTTCGCTGAAAAGTTTATCGTGAATTAAAACACTTTAAAACCCTGCTTCACTCACTAACCACAAAACTATTCTATTGACGTGTCCGATTTTATGCCGAGTAAGAAAAAAACAATTTCAAGAATGCATTACACGGATTGATACATTGGAAACTGTCAATTTTTTTGTAAGTTTACAAAATAAAAAAAAGATTGAACAAATATATTTTCTTGAAGGAGTCAGACTGAAAAAAGACAGTATTCCTGAAAAAATACGAGAAGCTATCCATATATTCTGTGATCCTTCTTCCACTAAAGTTTGAGCGAACAATGGTACAGTAGTAATGCATTGTAACCGTAGGACCAGCAGCGTCAGTCCTCACCTAAAGGTCTGAGACATAGAGCTCCTCATGTCATTGTGTACCACCTATAAAACGCAATTTTCTTCAATTTTCTACCTCATATGAAAACTTGCTATTAGACTTAAAAACTATAATGTGCTCGAGTATTTTTCAGTCTCTTTTATTACATAGTTGTTTCGAAAGCGTACTTCTTCAAACGTTAACTTCAATTCTCTCGCTCTAGCCTCATCAGAAACAATCATACAACAAACTAACAGTTCATCGACTAATGATATAAAGTATTTTTTAATCAATTTCAGAGAAAACTTGACTAGTCCCAGGTTGATGCATACTTGAGAAAGGGAATCAGTTCGTAGATTAACTCAGTTTTGTTTTTCAGAAAGAAACTGCCTGGTTTACTCTCTCTAATGTAATTAAAAAAATCGCAGAATACATACTTTCATTGCTAAATCACATCGATGTTGCGTAATTAATCTTAATTGATCGACGATGTTTTTTAATCTTTCTTGAGTAGCATGAGATATCAGTGCCAACGAATCATCCGATATTTCTGGCATTTGTTTATTACGAGCTGAAATAATTTTATCATTTGTGCGTGTAGTAGTTACTCAACTACTACTACTTCATTATTTGTTACTCGTTACCTAATTCTTCCGCTTTCCGTTTTAATGTCTGAATATTCAAAAACTTTTCATCTACACAATGCCGTTGTACTTGCCCAATTTGATCCGATGCACTATTAATTCGTTGTTTTTCTTCATTAAGATTGACACCAGCCAAAACAGCTACATCGGATAAGTCACCTTGACTACTCTCGTCTAGACCACCATCAATATCGCCTCTGCAATAAGTAAATAATAAAACAACAGTGTAAATAAAAATACAATATGTTACTAGGAACTTTCATATACAATTTTCATCTTACAAAATCAATGATTTCAGCATAGGAATATTCTTGTACATTCCTTACTTCTAATTGTGTAACAAAATTATACACAGTAAAACAATTACTTTCAATCGACTGCAAATCTTACACCTGAAATCTCGCAGAGCACATCACATGTTAATTTACCTTATGGAAGACCTTTGTGTTTGCTGCTGGGTAGTTTTGATTTGTTGATGGTTAACAATGATCGGTGTTGGTATAGCGGTCAATGGACGTACAGGGGTCGGCTCGCCAGTAGCAAGCAGAGTGGTCTGTTGTGGTTGTTGAATTGTTATACTTGTTACATGAGGAGATTGTGTTGTAGAATAAGGACGAACACCGGTTAGCTAAAATCAAAAAATTGAATACATAAACTTAACGTAACAGAAATAACATATTGTGAGAGTAGAGGCGAGTGGGCCGTTGCAGACGCCTATGAGAACTGAAGTATATAAAACGTTAGATGTTTCCAGGATTCGTATTAGCAAAAATCAAAAAGTAGGAGTAGGAGCAGGATTTCGAACGTCGTTATGGTAGGATTTATATCGGAAAGTAGGATAAATGTAGAATGCGTAAACAAGGCTTGCGTTGCCTCTCTGATTAAGTTTTATCAAATTCTTTTTCATCATAGAACTGGTATGAGTACATCATTAGATGTTAGGGTCCGCCTTTTCTATGTATGACCACCGTTTATTTACAAACAAAAAAGTTATTCTTAACAATAAAAACCGATCTATTTATACATGCAATATTGTGGAATAATCTATAATCTTAACTATACTCTACGCAATAATCTTGAATATTCTTGCACAATAACTTAGACTATATGCTTACGCAATAACCTTATCTATGATCTTCTCCCTTATGGCACGACTCTAGTACGTGACACAACATTAGATGCAGTTTTCCACGCTAATTACGAATATGACATTTTTAAAAAAATAAACTTTGGTTGAAAAATTTTGAAATTAAAACTTTAAAAATTTTTAATTTTAATTTCCTGACCTAGACATTTTTGGGAAAATTTTAAAAACCACACCATTCCATAAATAACTAAAAATTCTCTGCAAAATGGCTCATTTTGTTTGGAGTTCAGACACTCATAACAAATTTTATAAGCATTTTTGTGGAAAGCTTTTAAAAACTCGAAAACTATTTTTTTTAAATTTTTCTCTTAAATGCCTTCTATATGACAAACTCTGTAAAAAAGTGAAAATTGAAGTCTTGTAATGTTTACTCTGACAAGAAAACCATAGCCGATAAGCACAAAAATTTTTGCGTAAAGCGTGACGAAAGTAAAATCATTATTCTGGACTTGCAGAGTTGAATTGAAAATAATCTTTTTTACGATCCAATGGTCCGTTGATTAAGCCGCAAAGCAGGCATGGGCGAGTCCGAGTGCAGACTAGTGGCGGAGCCAAGAGTTTGATCTAGAGGGGGCTCAGCCCAGAAATTTTCTAAACTCCGTCAGAGGTAAACTCATTTAAATTTAATGCTCGAAATCTATAAATTTTTTAGAGGGGGCTCAGCCCCCCTCTCGCCCATAGCTGGCTCCGCCACTAGTGCAGACTGGAAGATTTTTTGGCGAACTTGGACTGGAGATTTTATATTTCGAGTCCGATCTATTCAACTTTTAACACAAATGAGCAGAGAAAAATGAAAAGCGAAATAACAACACCTTCTGTTTCACAAGAAATTGAAAATTTTGTTCGGGAGACGGGCATGGAAAGTAATTTTATTTACGAAAAATCAAATATCTATCCAGGGCTCAGCAAATTAAAAAATAAACCACCCTCATCAAAAAAGAATCTAAAAGATGACCGGACTCGGTTTGAATTTTAAGGACCCGGCTCGGATTCGCCCATGCCTGCTGCAAAGTGGCTCGAAAAGAAAAACTTTTTATCATTCGTTTTGAGAAAATTTGTGCAACTGCCTGAATTTAAGAGCCTTTTTTTTCTAAACAGCGTTACGCTCTTTGTTTTGTCCATAGAAACTAACTTTCAAAACCGATTTCGTGCTTCTTTTTCTCATTAATTGGGAAGAGGTGACACAAAATGACGCCAGAACGAACCTTCTATCACATACCGTTGCTGAGAAAATCAAGAAATACTGTGGAAGAAACGTAATAGCATTACGTTTGGATAATGTGATCTGTTAACTATAATTCATATATTTTTTTCATTTTCAGTGAGTATATAAATTAAGAATCTTCGATAACGAGTTTGCACGCTTTTAATATTCTAGTGCAACTGACAAGGTCAGTAAAAAAAATATCAATAGCAGGAAACTATAACTACTCTTCTGATGTATGTAGTATACGAAATTTAAGTAAAAGTTATAGTATTACCAGTATGTTTTCTTCAAAGTCTGAATGTGAAAACATGATGAAGGGAAGACGAACTCGCAGGAAGAATTTTCTAGAAGTGTGTTGTCTTTTAATCCATAACGGATTTTTTGCTCGATATGATATGTTTGAATAGATAAGTGGAGAAGTTTTAAAAACTGGGATTTTAATATTTTAAATATTATATAGAAGAATCTTGAAACTAAATGTATAGTTCGGCAGAGAATAGGCGAGTTTCATGGAAAATATTTTTTTTCATATCTCATTCCCAGCAAAACATTTTTTAAAGCCCTCTGGGGGGGTTGGGTTTTAGGCCATGCTGGTTCTAATGGCGTTCTCAGTTTTGTCACATTGCTTAGAAGACCCGTTTTTCTGGAAAATCAGTTCAGAAACTCTGAAAAACAACCAAAGCCTTTCTTAATGAGCCATGCTTGTAGCCCGCACATTTCTGATTAAAATGAGACCTCTCCCAACTCTATATGATCTTTCTTTGCAAAGTTATAGAATTTACAAGAAAAG